TTTTCAAATTATTTAAAATTCAAGTAAATTGAGGAATTCTTGTATTACAGCAGCTGAGAAATTATGAATTCTATGGTTTTTTCAGTTGATGTTGAAATTCCGTGATCACCTCTCCTAAATTCAATGTCACTATCCTGAAAATGATAACTAATCTAAACAACGGGCGTAGCCTTTCTCTTATCAAAAGGAATGAGGAAACAGAAAAATCAATTGTCAATTGTAATTCTGTTGTTGGTAATGTTTTCAGTACATACTTTTTGGCTGAAATTCACGGTACACTTCTTGGAAATTCTCATCAAGCCCCAGTTTCATCCGGATTTCAAGGAATTTCATCATTAAAAATTGACAGTTTGATGAGAAATCAATGGAAACTGTAAATTTACTCCAATTATTCCATGAAAAATTGAAAGAAATCAGGAAAATTGAGATGAATATATTCTACAATTTTCAAATAATTCAAAGTTTAAGGAAATTGGAGAATTCTCGTGCTCCAGCAGCGAAAAAATTGTGAATTTCATGGTTTTTCCAGTGGATTTTGAGATTTCATGGATTACCCATCCTAAATTCAATGTCACTATCCTGAAAATGACAACTAAACTAAATGAAGGGCGTATCCTTTCTTTTGCCAAAAGGAATGAGAAAGAACTGAAATCAATTGTCAATTGTAATTCCATTGTTGGCGGCTGCTTCCAGTAGATACTTTTTGGCTGAAATTTACGATTCACTTCTTGGAAATTCTCATCGAGCCACAGTACCACCCAAATTTCAAGGAATTTCGTCGTTGAAAATTTACAGTTTGATGAAAAATCAATGAAAACTGTAAATTTTACTTCAATTATTCCATGAAAAATTGAAAGAAATCAGGAAAATTCAGACGAATATATTCTTGAATTTTTGAATAATTTAAGGTATATTCCAAGACAATACCATCTAAAAATTGATCCCTATGGATTTCCGGAAAAAATTCTAAATGACTTAATTTATTGCATTCTCATATATTATCAATGAAGGCACCAATAACTGTTTGAATCAAATAAGAAATTATTCTTCTTATTTTTTTTCTCTCTTGTATACCTTCTCGGGTTTTTGCAATTTTCCCCTTATCCTACCCCCCCCCCCCNTTTTTTATTAAAGGATTTTATTATTATTCGTTTTTCTCTTTCGTATAACCTCACGGGTTTTTACAATTTTCCCCTTATCCCCCCCCCCCCCCCCCTGTACCGCATTCTTCGAAGGACGAGGGAAACCTTCACTTGATGGAAAAACCTGCCCAGGTAAAGTCGTCTCTTTTACGAGACCCTCGCTCAACAATGAAACTGTGAGATTGAGAGTGTTAGAAAATTTGGCGACGCAGTTTGGAAGTAAACCCAAGTTCCCCGCATACCAGTCTCACACTCTAATCACACAGCCATGGCCGTCGGTTAAACAAGAAATTATTTGTTAATTAATTGTTTGAATCAAATACGACATGATTTCACGACATTTCCATCCAGCAATGCGAAACAAAACAAAATATATCGGAAAAAACTTGGAAAATCCGAATAGAAAAATTCAATAGAAAAATTCAAACAGAAAAATCTAAATCTATTGACTTTTTTCTATCAATATCTAATAGAATCTGTGCAAAAAACACAGAATTTTAACGAGAATTCTTTCGAGTTTTAATGGAATCCCCATAGAATTTCTAGAAAATTCCAACAGAATTTTCTAGCGAATTCGTTAAGGTTTTCTATTGAAATTTTTCATACGTGTTAAACTGTGTAGTATACCTAGTTATCATTTTTTTTCAATAGTCTATGAATATTATAAACATTATTTATGAAAAATGTGAGGACAATCCTCGGAAAATCCTGTTTCCTAGGAATATACCTTAAAATTCAAGTAAATTGAGGAATGCAGGTCGGTACGTGACTTTTTGGCGCACCGAGAAAATACTAAACTTGGGTGTCTTTTAACATCATTTGGGTGTGTAGCGCCAAAAACACCGCGCCAAAAAGACCTGTTCCGAATGCAGGTATTCCAGCTGCTCAAAAACAGTGAATTCCATGGTCGTTCTAGTCGATTCCGAAATTTCATGATTCTCCCTCCTAAATTCAATGTCCCTATCCTGCAAATAACTACTAAACTGTCCATGAAATTTTGTTTTCTCTCTAACAAACAAGTATGCTCATTAGTTCATTGCAAAAGAAGAGGGCTCAAACCAGCTGTCTATACCCACATACTTTCCCTCGATTCATTGATGGCATTTGTTCTTTCCCGTCCGACATATTCGCTATCAATTTTCTTTTCGCCGGGCGTCCTTGACAGAGCACATAGAGCCAAACGATCGTGCGCGGACACACCTCCCTCTCTATCTTCCGATCTCCCCCCCTCCCCCCTCTTCGCCCGCCGACCAACCAACCCCAGTCTTATGCTCTTAAAACCAAAGGGTTCGTGCTTTTTATGCGCCTACGCATCTCGCGGACAGGAAACTCGGTGCCAAAAGCGCCGCAGCGTTGCCAGAAATGTTTTTCATGTGAATTATGAAACGTTTTTAAACTGTATTTTCCACAAATTCTCTTCCATTTTTCATCATTACTCCATGGTACATACATACACAGGTTTACACTTAACAGTGGTATATGGTCTTGGAAGCATGGTGTGACTCAGCATATAGTTCTCGTCGTGGGAGAAGAGTAATTAAACGCGCTCGAGCAAAGAGTAATTCCAAGAAGGGAGACAGTGAGAGACTTTGTTTTTTGCGGTGTGTGTGTGCGCGCGCGCGCGCGCGCGCGTGTGTGTGTGTGTGTGTGTGTGTGTGTGTGTGTGAGAGAGAGATCGAGAGCTTGGGAGATAGAGTTTTAGGATGGACAATGCAATGATGATGCTTGGCTTGGGTGTATGTATTTTTGAGAGGCTTCTTCAAAGGAGCATGGCGAAGTCTCTCAAAAGATCCTTGTGTGTATTGAGAAATGTTGACTGTGATGAATTAACCGCAACTCACTTCGCTATTCTATTTCAGGTAGTTTTTTTTCATTTTGTTGTGTTTGTGTTGTTGAAGTAAAGACATGGGTGGATAGAATTACTTGTGTTGTACTGGGAGAGGGAAGAATCTCCTATAGAACAATCCGTGACCGTGATGCTGGTCCTTTTTCTGGTTTTCACGCTAATGTCTCTCTTCCTGTTGAACGAATCTCATACTTTTTATACTCATTCGAAAGCTTATTAAATAAGCTTCGAATTGACATGTGAGTCATTCCATCTTGATCATTTTTCATCAAGTTATAGCACTTTTAGGCATAAATTGGTTTTCCGTGTTTTTACTTCAAAATCAACTTTGGCTGGTTTTTTTCTATTCTTTTACGTCAAATCAATCGGAATACTGATGTATCATCTTGAAGGGCAGTATAAGTTCTTCACATTGTGATACATTGAATTCAATTTCGTTGAAGTTTCATGAAGCTATTGGAGATTGTTTCTCTCTTGAACGTCATGCCACACTTTGAAATTCGGTTTTTTCATTCATTATTGGACCTTTGCACTTGACCGATGAGAATTTTCTATGCACCAATCTGACGATCTCAACGAGGTTTTCAAAATGGCGTATGATCTTCCACATTTCATCCACTTGATCAAATGTTATGGGTGATTATATTTCGAAATTGGCATGTCATAAATTGAAAATTTGCTATTTTTTTAGCATTTTGTCTTGAATTACTGTCTTTTGGTTCAATTATTATTAGAACTTTCATATCAGTTGTGTAATTCATTGAATAAGCTTTAAATTGCGAGGTCAATCATTCAAATTCAACAATTTTTCACAAAGTTATGACTTTTTGTTAAAACAATTTTTTTTTCACATTTTTCTTGAAAATTCTAATTTGCCTGTATTTTTCTACCCTTTTGAGTGAAATCAGAGGAAAAACAAATATATAATTTTAAAGGGCAGATCATTCTCGTTCTTGAAATTGTGATGTATTGATTGCAATTTGGTTGAATTTTCATAAAGTTATTGGAAATTACTTGTTTTTGGAACGTCATGAAATTTATTGAAATTTAAATTCAGTTCATTGAAATTCAGTCTTTTCACTCATTATTGGATCTTTGCACTTAACCTCCTAAGGTGAATTTCAATATCCCCACTCTACGGCCGTTTAAGTGGAATACCAGCATCCCCACTCGAGCGCCCTACTACGCTTTACTACGCTTTTCACCTTAAAGGGTTAAGCAATGAGGATTTATTATACATCAATTTGAAGATTTCAAGTAGAGCTTCGAAATGACGTATGATTTTTCTCACTACATCCACTTGATCAATTGTTACGGGTGATTGTGTGGCAATTCACGATTCCTTCAGCGTTTTAGTCGTGGATTGTTGTCATTTCCGCCAATATTCAGTGGCATTAATGACGTCAAGAATTAGTTTAAAAAATTGATTGAAGAATCAATTTCATGCAGCTTGGCTAGCGCGCGTAGCGCTCGTTTCGCCTAGTAATTGAAAAAAAAAATGTTTGAGGGAAAATGGAATTAATGAACATGATTGAAATTTATTCAATTGAGAGATGCAGAAAACTTCATCTCATTCACCCCCGTGGGGCATCTTCTCCACTCGCATTCCACTCTGGCATCATTAATATCGATTCGCGTCTCGTGGAATCAAAAATAGCGCCTCTACCTATCTCCAAGGAGGGATGACCAAGTCTCGCACTCCAATTGGTCCGCACGATTCCCTTTGGCCGATCGAGCTGTGACCCCTTGCACGCGTTCAACTCTTGCAATAATACAAGAGTTGTTCTCAAAATGTAATTGAAGTGGGGAGGAATGAAAATTCGTCGTAAAAAATGTGAATGCATTACACTCGGGGATAAACCAAGTCCTTGGAGATTGGATGTACGATATACAACTTGTTACTATTGTCAGAGAACAGAGGCCAATTGTAATACATTGAGGGGGGCGTGGTCAATGCCTTGGCCGCCTTGCGGTCGAAATTCGAACTAGCGCGAGCAGGCGACCGTCAGTACGTTTATGTAATCTCCCTTCCAAAGAATTGGATTAAGTCATCTAGAATAATTAGAAATTGTAAGGTTTTCGTTGAGATTTCATGGGTCGCTTCATCATGAAAGTGTTCATGCAAGAATTGTGTCGTTTCGCTGAGGCACAGCCTAGCAGTAGGAATTTTATTGAAAGTGAAAAATTACTGGAAGCAGGGCATGTAATTCAATGGGGACAAACTTCTAATGACAATACGTCTACAAATATTCATGAAGCACTTGCTTTCTGTCTACAAACATCCACTTTAAAAGGTAATCCTCATGAAATGAGTGGAAAAATTGATGGAAATGGGAGAGTGATTGAAATGACGTGTACTTGCAAGGCTGGACTCAGTGGAAGATGTAAACACGCCGTTGCAGTGTTGCTCTACTGCAACAGGTGATTATTGTTGATATTAATTTACTACTTGCGAAAAAACATTATGGTGAGATGAAAGATGGATGTTAAAGTTTTGATTTGTTTTTCAGAAACAATCTTGAAGAACTGAGAATAATAAGTTGTACTGATAAAAAATGTATTTGGAATGCTCCTCGGAAATTATTATTAGAAAATTATGATGCACAGCCTTTGATGAAACACGAATGTTTCACATTGAAAAAGAACAAGTTATTGGGAGATAATCACAATCAGAAAAGCCTCAAAATGCAAAACTCTTGTTTTTTATAGGAAATTGAAAGAATCTCACTGTTGGATTACGATAAGCTGAATTATTGCAGCCAGGCAAACTGCAAAATTCTCTATTTTTTGTTACTCTGATGTTGAACTCCATTTTTTTAATAGGAAAACAGTATTCTCTCTTCTTTCAGAATGACTATGGAACTGTGTTGACATGTATAAACAATATAAATTACAATAAATTCAATGAAAACCGGCAAGAAACACTCTTTTGTATACATAAACCCATTCAATGGCTCCAAGTCGCCTGATCGCACTAGTACGCATTACAGCCGGTAGAGCGCGTCATTCAGTGCTAGAGTTCCCAATACAATCGTTATCAGTGAAGCCTCTGGTAATTTCATATTTAATTCGTTATCGCACGATTTTACGTGATTTAACAAATTGAATGAATTTTGAATGAGTTTTTTTCATTCGGAATGCATCGAATGGTGAAGATGGAGGTCGGCCATTTTCTTGACGCCGTGAGTCTCCTTAGGAGAGATGCGTCAATCCTACACTGAGAAGAAAAATTTCTAATATCTGAACAAGTACTCACTTGACCCGTGAAGAGTCTCGTGCTTTAAGGTATATCCCTAGAAAACACGTTTTTCTTAAGATTGTCTCCACGTTTTTCATAAATAATGTTTATAATAGTCCCCAGGATGAAACAAGAATTCTTCAGTTGGAGATGGTGAGTGATCAGATCGGGAAAGTGGGAATTCTCACAATCCATTAAATTCTAGATATAACGCAAACTATATGATTTTATGGGAAGAGTTATGCTAATACTTAAAAAATTTTCTCGGAATAAGAGAATCTCATTCTGTTGAAAGACTTTTTTCTCTCAGTGTGAGCACAAAATTATTTACCAGGAGATTTCACGATTCTAGAAATTGACATGAGAATATGTTTTGTATCAAGAAAATCATCGTTGTCAAAAGTAATCTTTTCTCTCAGTGTGAGAAGATTCATAGCGTCAAGGAACTGGCGGATCTCCATCTTCCCCGTTTGACGACTTCAGAATGAAAAAACTCATTCAGAATTCATTGAATTTGTTTCACCTCTCGTAATTACGTAATTTAGAGGAAAAAATCCTGAGAGAGCAATAATTTTTCCTGGGCAGAATGGTTCTAACTCAGTTTGAGATACGAGCACGATAAATTATCTGCAATTCATTTTTCCGCGCACACAATCTTACTCTATATAATTTAAGATGTCCGTTTCTCCGGAAATTCATGGAAGGTTCTTAAAAAGTCAAAAAAGGTCCAGAACCGTATAGAATCTTCTAGAAAATTCCCGAATCGTCCGGAAAACTCACCAATTTTCCGATTCAGAATGTTCCAAAAAATCAGAAACTGGAAAGTTCTAGAAATTTTTAGAACTTTCGCAATTATTCCAGAAACTAACGCTTCGGAAAATCATAGAAAGTTCTAAAAAGCTGTAAAAAATTCCAGGCCCATACGATATTTCAGAATATTTTGGAATTCTCTATCATTTATCGTCTAAATGTCAATTTCAATGAAAAAAAAATGGACCGAGCCATGAGTTTCTTGATTGATGTATAACATGTCTTGAGGAGAGTTTCTATTTATTTTTCAAAAATTGCATAATCATCATCAGCAAAATTGCATGAATCATCGTTCAGCCAGAACCTAAATCGACGACTAAAAAAGAAAAAACACATTATCTTATTCTTTTCTAGAATAAAACGATAGACCGATAAACCGGGTATTTATTTTTCTGTTTTGTCAGATATTTTTTTGTTATCAATTTTCGAGCCGTACGTTTCTTGATACAAGGAAAGACGTACACGGAGAAAAAAATTACAGAAAAATTACTGTGCCAGCACCGGAAAATTTGCTGTGGAGTACAAGAATTTTTCACTGTAAAACCGAGAAAAATTTCTTTACGCCACGGCAAAAATTCCGATGTTGGCACCGGAATTTTTCCGAGTCCGTCCAAATGAACCTATTTTACCGTGCTACTACAGCAATTTTTCTGGAATTTTTTTCTCCGTGTACTTCTTCAAACTTTCTCATCTCAGTGTGCAAAGAACACCCGCCATTTTCTTGACGCTCCGAGTCACATCCAAATGGATGATTCTTCCATTCAATTTGACCGTAAACTTTTGAATATGAAAAATTTGTTACAATTCCGAACAAATGATTTTTATGGTGGAAAATTGATTGTTTGTAAATTATTTATAGAAAATGTCCGTAATTTTCAAAAATCGCAATTTTTAAATTATTTCATGCATCTTTCTTCAAAAGTAAATTTTCTAATTTTCTTTTTAGATTTTTAAATGTTTTCTAACGGTTCAATATTGAGATTCAAACTCAGACCTGCAAAGTTTTTAAATAATAAAATCATTGTAAAATATCCGAAAACTTGAAGTTAAATGGAGCTCAAATAAAAGCTCTAATGTTCAACTACAAAAATTGAAAAGCATCTCACCGGAGAAAAAAATACCCAAAGTATTGGGATATCGTTAAATTTCAAAAAAGTTTGACGACAACACTAGGTTAGACGTATAAATACCCCTCCCATTCTCGGGCCTCCTTCTCCTCCCCAGAGAATTCATGAAACACGAAAGAAAAAAAACCAAATTGAACGGCATCTGAACAAATTTTCCGACTCTGAATTTTCAAAAAATGAACAACTCCCAATTTAAGTTGATGCAAGTAACTTCTGCCGTGAACAACATCCACTATTTTCTTGACGCTCTGAGGCACTCCAAAATGGATGACACTGCTCCTAAACTAAAAAAAAATACTTTGATAACAGGAATTTCTCTCCAGAATTCGACTTTAACGTTGACCCTGCCTGGGATGTATACGACTGCAGTCACTGGGTAAGACGTAGAAGTGCCCTTGCCAGTCTCGGTCGCTTCCCTATCGTTTGTGCCGCCTCGTCCTATCCTAACTGCGCGCCACAGAACTTCGGACTCAAGGGCGACCAAGTGAGAGCGATTCAGTGATAAAGACAAAGACAGACTGAGAAATCGCAGTGAGGAAGAGAACAAGAATAAAACGAATGCATATTTTGCGTCTCGGTATTTCGTGCAAAAACAGAGGGTAAAGTGGACGGTAATACGGGGGCAGAGAAAAACGGGTTACAACTTCTGTTATCTATCGTACTTGTGGTTAAACAAAACCAAAAAAAGGTGTCTTCCGGATGGAATCCTCAACGAACACCCCGCAAGCATCGGTATTTTTTATTGCGCTCCGCTATAAAAAACCACCTGCATGCTGTAAAGAAAAATGAGACAGAACATTTCCACTTTTATCCATAAATGTTACTTTTATTTCTTCCTCCCCCTCCGCCAGCCCTTCGTATTGTTTTTCCACGGTGCGATCAAACTGCAATCCACCGCGCCAATAACAATATTCATTTTCTTTTTTAACCCGTAATCTCCCTGAAATTATAACCATCATAATATTCGTTTATAGGAATGTTGAAAAACGAGTTTGTTCCTTGATATATTATCGGTGACAGTAACTTCCTATCCTACGTCCACGCATATTTACAAACGTGTGTTTGTGTGTGTCACACATCTCAGTGGTGGTTTTTCACATGCACACGTCTACCGTTGTCATCTTTAATTCGTGATCTTCAACGTAACTGGAGCTCATCCAATGTTTGCAGTTATGCTTTATGTTTCCTCTCTGGTCGTCGTTGAAATAAAACAAGGAATTGCACCGAGTTAGCTGCCGAGTTTATAGACAATTAAAATGGTGGAATGAAGTCAGGACGATGGGGATGGAAGCATTCAGAGGGGATTTTTGATCTCTTTCTGGAGCATCTTCCTCCCGGGGATGAATTTCCTCCTGATTTTAGACTGTCCGAGGAAAATTTCCCGCTGATCTCATGGACAACAACAAGCAGAACTGAACCAAGAGTTGAAACAACAATAGCGCTGATTACTGGACGGTGAAAGGGTGTGGCAGCGCCATTGAGTCGTTACATGCAGGAACTGAGGAGGGAAGAGAGAGATGTGTACGAGAATCGCGCTGGCGGGGGGAGGGGCAAGAAAGAGGGATTGAAACCCGACGAGGATGAGTGACGAGGAGAAGAACATCCGAAGGGCAGGGCGGGAGGCGCGAGGTGGAGAGCAAGAGGGAAAATGAGAGAAGCGAGGCTGGAATGGTGGGGAGGGTTTGCACCCATGGGCGAGACGCCAGAGGGGTGGGACAAGGATGAACCCAACTTAAAGGGGATAGATTCAACCGTAAATAATCAATATATCTATGGCTTGATGTACACTGGCTTCGATGCACCCAAAAATGAATGAATTCAACTAGCATCTGGTCGAATCGATGAATTTTCCACGAATTGCAAATGCAAAATTTTCCGGAATTCGCGATGAATCTGAATTTTGAGTTGCGTGGAACATTACGAGGTTGAGGTTTTTTTTTGAATGAAAATCCGGCAGAAGATTCACATGAAATGATTCAGCATGAATGCTTTGTTAACCTTGGTTATTCGTGTGGGTGAACTTGTATGGAATAAAAAGAGGAGAATATTTTGAGGGAGAAATGGATAAAAAAAGAGGATGAGGTAATAGAGTGGTTGGGTGTATGGTGATTATGTTCGGTGGGAATATTGTGAGGCCGGTGGAAATGTATGTGTAATCAGTTGGTCATGCGAAGATGAGACAAGTGGAATACAGGGTGACAAAAGAGACTTTGAGTCTTTCGAGTTTTGCACGATCAAGTCGCGATGAGAAAGAGTTGGATGTCTTTTGGAATGGGTGGGTGGGCATTTGGCATTTCTTTAGCATTGGAAGAATAAAGCTGAGTGTGTATAAAGCCGCGTGCTGATAAGCTTTAGGCTCGCCTCAAATAAGCAGCGATATACCTGGCTCGAATGAGATTGAAGGGGGGGTCGAAGTCACCAGTGGTTGTTTTACTTTTATCTCGAGTCACGAGGATTATGAAAAAAAAGAGAATAGTAACGAGAGAGACAGAGTGGGCACGATGACTAATGCGGCTGTTCAACTGTAATTCAACTCCGATCTTATTGTTGATGTGAATCTTTGCGTGATGTAGAAACTTGATGAATTGTCATTTCATGATGCATCGTAAATATTTGTATCTGACGACTGTGGGTTACAATCAATCAGATTATTGTGTGTAATAACCCAGACGCTGTGGATGAGGAAAAGTTACGAATGGCGCGGCTTCTTCGGGAAGGTGGAGGCTAGTGGTACATTACCTTTAAGCATTTTTTTTCGCCAGGACTTATGGTTGAGCGAGCGGGAGGAGAGGAGATGGGTGAATAAAAAGAGGCACTTGGGGGCCGGATATAGGGTTTTGGACTTAAATGGCGTGCTGTGGTGAGGTTTGAAGTTCGCGACTGACGGCCTGCCGGCTGAAGTCACAAGAACTGCTGTGAATGAAGTTGAAGTGGAAAGGGACGGTTACTGGATGAATTCCACGGGGCGATTGGGGCGACGTGATGTGGGAAGAATGAGCAAAAAAGCGATCCCAGCGACACCGGATCCTTCGAACGGGCATCGGGGGAGATGGTATTTGCGGGAGTATTCGAAAACTCGGAGGGAAATGAAGATATCAAAATATTTCTGTAGAGAGTTCTTATGCGTTATTCGGTGTATTCAAGAATTTCAGGTTTTTTCAGTGGAATTACTTCGCTTTTGTAGTTTAACAACAGAGCTTTGATTTAAATTTCGTTCGACCCTCATGAAAAAATATTGTTACGAATATCTTTTTTTGCGAATGCATTCTATCAACCAACATTCATTCTTTTTGACGTGGATACGTATATGGTTTCAATATGGGGGTCATTTTGAGAAACGGTACTTATGTGGAGCGCCATCTATCGGAATTCTCGAAAATTCTAGACATTTCGAGGAAATTCAGGGAGTTTCTAGGAAATTCGAGAGAGAAGGAAAGACCATGGACGTATCCACGTACAATTACAGTTGTATCGAAGATACAGACCTCTGCAATTTTTTGCCCTTGAATCTCTTCTCTGAAGTTAGTATCTTTCAGTCCACCACATTATTAAAATGTATAAAGCAATTTGCTGGCCAATCTTAGATTATGCCTATCCACTACTTGTCTATGCCAGACCTGGTACCAAACAAATAATAGCCGTAGCTGAGAGAACCACCCTCCGCAAAATGACAAAAATTTGCCACCCTGATAACCCTTACCATAATCCCTCCAATACCCTACTTTACGAACGCACCAGAGTAAAACCCATCACCGTCAGATTTCACAAACTGACGAGTTTTGCTCTTAGCAAACTGGACCATATCCGAAACCTCTGCCACAAACGCAATCCTAGGGTCAGGTCTCGTTACAAATACCTTCAGCACACATTATTTGGGAGTCTCAAAGCCATCCGAACGGAGAATCTGGGCTCTGACTCCTGGGGAGGCCTTGTTCACCTCCAACAATGAATCGTGAAATTCTGTAACTCCTTCATATCATCTTCACACTCTTCATTTCATCGCTTTATACTATACCATCTCGCCATCCACTCAATCTTGTAAAAATTGTCTTTAATTTCTCGATCCTCACCCAGAAAAATGAACACGCAAACATACTTTTTCTTTTTTGTTAGTAACAACTATTGGAGAATAAAATGTAAATACTCGGTGGAAGGCCCCCGGGCGATTGCCAGGGGGCCTGCCACAAAGTTCGTTAAAAATAAAATAAAATAAATATTTTTCAGTTGTTTTTACTTGTTCTGATTTCGTCCTTTTGATTCATCATGTCATTTTTCCACTCGTTCTTTTTAATTCAATAAACTCTTCTTTCAGTAATTCCTACGTGCTCTTCAGTGTATATAGAGAAAATATATGAGTCGTATATAATTCATGTATGTCATTTATAAGGAAAGATATGTTAAAATACAGACATATATGCCGGTATGACTCATTCATATACTATATATTTCCCCATATATTTCACTTTATGTGGACTTATACATGGAAACATATCACAATATATATAATGAATAGGGTTCATATATTTAACGTATATTTCTTCATATATTTTTCAACCTCATGTATGCGGAAATATATTACGTATAGAACATATGCCCCACATATTTCGATCTATTTTATTTCTATTTAGTTATATATTCATCTTCATGGAGGGAATCTGTTACGAAATTATTTCAACATTCAAATTTTGAACGTCTAAATTACATTTTCCATTTTGAAATGTTATGAATATTTATAAATCTGGGAAAATTTAGGGAGTCTGTTTTTTGAGGAAGATTTCAATTTTCAAAGATTATGAACTTTTTTGAAATCAATTTCTGCATATTCAGAATTCTACCAAGAGTCGGTTTCAGGCAAAAAGGCGAGATTTTTAAAATCGTCAACAGCGTTCATGATCCATTTATAGGAAATGTTTGGAAGTGAAGTAATGTCTTATTTATTCATTTATTGTGAATAAATGTGCACCAAATTGACTATCTACATTCATTTCACCTGAAATTTACAGTTTATTTACGTATTCACCTGTTGTAGAACATGGCACGTTGAAACTACGGAACTCAGTTTGTACGAAACTCCAAATTTGACAGTGGTTATTTTTTCATCCAAATTTCAGCCAATAGAATCGCACCATTCGACGTTATTTTGTATAGTCAACACGAAATTCAACTGATAATTTTTTGATAATTCAACTGATAATTTTTTGGTAATTCAACTGATAATTTTTCATGTTGCCTATATAAAAAACAAATGATTTTCCAATCCAGTTAACCCCCATCGAATTTGACAGATTGAATTTAATTGCGCCAATTGGAGAGGTTTGATACAAAATTAGTAGATTTGGAGATTTTTCTTTGCAAAAAATCTATGAGAAAGTCAAGGGGAATGTACCCATAAACCCATTTGTGAGCAGAGAAATTACGTGTTGAGGGCAGACACCACTGAAGAGGAACTGGCGTATATTTTAAAAGACTGGGCATACAACAAGAAGAAGTTTAATGGACAGGATTACAAGGAAATTTCGCTAAAGGCAATGTGGAATAAGACTGCGAAGTTACTCCAGGATAAATATTGGGACGACTTCAGTGTGAGGATTTTGTCTCTTGGTGCAATTCTATTGGCCGAAATTTGGATGGAAAAATAACCCCACGAATACCACTCGACCTTCAAAATTAATCGTGTAATTCCCTCCAGGTTCCCTGTACACAAACGAATTCGTCAAGTTTTTCAGGAAAAACTTGACTCCTTCGTTTGTTTGCAACGAACCTGTCGGGAATTATCAGATAATTTTGAAGCTCTCGTGGTATTACTTGCGGAAAATATACTTCGATTTCCGCAAGTTTTTGTCCCAGACGATTCTGAGCATACACAACAGATTTTCGTCTTTCCACAACTCATTTTTTGTTACCAAATTTCGGTGCTCATCCAGTGGAAGTCTTCCATGAACAAAAAAAACCCTCTCCTGAACTAAAAAAAAGTTCAAACGCTTCACTCCTTGGTGAGACATTGACCTCAAATGATACAAAAAAAGGGTGGAACATAATACAACAATCGTGTCCATAAGAAATATGCGCTGAATATATTTTCTCAATTATTCAACCCATTACATCGACCTCACTTAATTAATTTTATACAAACGGAGATAATGCAAGACTCTGTATTAATTCCTCTGTATGAGCTTCTGGACATTCTCAGTGCACCATTTCTGCAGTGGTAGATTTTTCATGCCATCAGTGGATGGGTCAACAGTGAGATTGAATTTAATTGGTTTACTTGACTGAGATAAATCGAACATATCGTTGAGTGCATTTAGCGCAGCTATTTTTACAGCCCCCTCGACGTTATCCTCGGTGCCTGTGAAAAGCCGATATTGTTGTAATATCATGAAAAATAATATTAAACAAGAAAATTTTTGCACGGAATGTCGGATGAAAAATTACCTGCGGCTAAAATTTCCTTTTTCGAATACAATCCAACTTGGTAAACGGGTAATACAGAATTTACCCCACTCTCTGCAATTAGCCGAGGCTCTGCAGGCTCTCTTCCGTCTCTCGTTAAAATTCCGTTTAAAATTTTAAGAGGCTCCTCTGGATACCACAGCTCACTGAGATCTCGTTCGGCCAGTGTTGCAATTAAAAAATCTCGAATGAATTTACCAGTGTGGATTTCATCTACACTTTCCGCTAGAGCACTGACCAGAGCCAGAAATGTGTTGGCTAGAGTTTCTGTTGATGGTGGATATTCCTGATGGAAAAATTAATAATTTAATGCTGAATGCGAGAGTCTGGTGTATAATTACGATTATTACTATTTATCTTGAAGAAACAGTATCATCATTTTTAAGAGAAATTATTATTCATCTAATTGGAGCACTAGCCAAATGAGCTAGGGGATAAATGGATTCTCGATATATTTGTTTATAAATATCAGGATTTTGAGTGAATGACAAACGTTCCACTTTGCCCTATCTTCCCCCCTTATATCTCGATATTCTACATTGCTGGAATTGATTGAGATTTAATGGGCATGATAATCTTCAAAATAATGAGTTTGAAAATTAGGGCAGGGTGGGGCAAAATAGATATTTTTGACTTTTTATTCAATATTCAGACTCTAATTTATGAATTGAAATCAGTCTAGGCTCATCCAAAAGAGGAAGATTTGTACCTTTTTATAGAAAAAGGTATTTCATTTCAGTTCTATTTGACTTCAGTGAATCAACATTTTAAAAAAAGTTAAAAGTGTCGTTTTGCCTCACCATTTCTGAATTTCAGATTTTTTTTCATTAAGGTAAATTGAGTTTCTTTACACTCAACGCGTACAGGAGTTCCAACAATAAGATATCATCAAGCATTTGCATCATCACATAAAGTTGGAATTCATATTTTCATCTAATCAGTAGCCTTTCAAATATTAAATTATATTGAAATTCAATATGGAGTAGTTCTTGCCGAAGACGTTATGAAATTTCATTAGAAATTCTCTATCAGTAAATTCAGATCAGAATTGGAATGTAGAATTGAAAATAATTATTTTCTTCATTAAAAATATGATTTACCTCGCTCAAAATTAAGTCTTTACTTCCAATCAGAGATGCACTGTTTGCTAACACTTCTTCTGATAGCAGATGATCATGTAAAGCTCTGAAAGAATTGTTAAAAGACAATTTTTTAAAAAACAATTTCTCTGAATTACTTAAAAATTGTTTTCGGGGTGTATTGTTCTGTCAAAGGAATACATTATTGAGTTATAAAGGTTCTGCAATCGAAAAATGGCCTCCATGAAGCTTTCCCCATATGTGTAGTCTTTTGAAATAATATATATTGACATGCATAGGATCACCGAATATTACGAGAATTTTTAGAACCTCAAAAAACGGATTTTCTAAAATAGAAATTTTGTTCACAATTTTTTTTCATTCTCATTGCCGTATACTTTTCAATTTTTGCAGATACTGTTCCTTCCCATTTTTTACTTTTTTAGTTTCGCTCAACATTCTTTCCATTTTCAAAACAAAATTTAGCATCAAATTTTTTTCATCAAAAGTTCATTAAAAAATTGTCAAAACAATTTTTGCCCAAATTTGGCCATTTTGAAGTATAGAAATTTGGATCACATCGTCGCATTAAAATCAAAGGGGCGTAAGTGCCATTTCTCTGAGATTTTTTTTCCTCTGAATACCAAAGGGGCGTATGTTTTTTTTTTCCTTCGAAATGGAGTTTTCTCAACTTATGAAAGGTTTTTTGTGGACAAATTTCTGAAGTGGCAAATGGACGTAAGTCCGACTAGCAAGTACTGAAGGGGCGTATCTCCAGCACATACGCCTCTTTCTTTTTATACTTTTTGTTTCTTTTCTAGCTCATATTGAGAATGAATAATTCCAAAGGGGCGTAACTCAGGCACATACGTCCCTTTGTTTTTGAAGCAATAATCACAGAGGGGCGTAACTCCAATATATATGTCCCTTCATTTGTTACTGTTCGTTCCTATTGATTCATCAAGTATAAACGGAATCACATGCACTACAGCCCTAATAATAAATAATATTTGATTCTACATTAACCTCCCCTCCCTCCCTCTCATCATGAATGTTCAAATTATTTCCCTTTGATTTTTTGCTTGAATGAAACAATTTCATGAGAAATATCAGTAACTAAACTAAAATTTTCTAAAATTTTCTTCTAAATTTATTCGATTTCATTCATTAATTTATTTCATTTTTTTAAATTATGACTGCGAATTTCAGGAAATTATCTGTATGAAATTTCGAGTCGTGACTGCTTTGAACACTTCGGAAGAAAATGAGACCATAAAGGAAGAAGAAAATAGTTAAAGCGTTTTATGTTGATATAACAATATAAAACTCATTATCGCGAGTAGACCTAAGATATAATGAGAGAGAGGCGTATGTGGGACTTACGCCCTTTTCGTTTTATTTCAACATGAAATGTGTCATCCGAAGTGCACAACACATAATGTAAAAAGGGCGTAAGTGTGGAGATACGCCCCTTTCCCGTTGAAATATAGCAATTACGCCTTTTTCCTAGATTTTTTTTTTCCAATTTTTGGTCAGAAATTCCATGAAAAACCGAAAAAACAGGAATTCGGAACATACGCCCCTTTCACTTTTAAAATGGGTTTTTTGGCACTTACGCCCCTTTGATTTTAATGCGACGACATGATTGTGCACACTGTACATTACTTACAACCCTAAAAAATCACAAAATACGAAAGAATGGATGCCACTTTGTTTCCGAGAGCAGTTCTACTTGGTGACATAAAAGCTAAATTTTGTTTGTTCCAGTGTTCTGAATATTAAGTAAAGATTTCGCCTCGATCCACCCATTATTAATCACATTGGGATCTTTGCAAGTAAAAAATTTTTTTTTCAAGTTTTTTGAAAATTCTCATAATATTTAATCGTCCTAATGGTAAACAGGTCAATTTCTGGACGGGGGTTAGTTTCTGGACGATTTCCACTTATTGTGTATAATCATGTGATCAATTATTTGTTCTGTTGATCGATATTTAATAAATACGAACAATATGGCCCAGTCGTCCAGAAATTTCGGCTGCATCCAACTATTTCTTAATTTAATTATTCTTTGTTTTGTTATTTTCACTTCAAATAATTTTTTTCGGCTAATTAAAACATTCTTGAAGGTATGGACGCCATCATGTCCCCATTTAGATGTTTCTTTTATTTTAGATGCTACCACGAAACTAGAATTTCCCTTGACCGTCCGGTAATAGACCTTTTCATTCTAGAAATCCAGGGGACATATTTCTTGCGTTCATCGAACCGAAAAATCTTCGGAAAAAGGAGCAAAAATTCTGATAAATATTGACATTTACGATAATATAGGTTTGAGCACTCAAAAATTATGATTGATATGTAAATTCCGCACATGGGTCCGAAACTCCTAGAGGAATTAACATAGGAAAAGTGTCTGAAAACCTAGTGAATCTCAGGATGAAAAGCTCTATTGGCCTGTTCACCCTATATGGGTTAATACATATTTTTTAAGTGACTGCATATCTGGAGAAAGTCTAACTGAAATCCTCCACTCACAGAATACATTCCTCTGGAGCCTTTGGTAGCGACAAACTCAGATAAATCTCCACAATCTTCGACGTTAGGTGTCTTCCACTGTCAATCAACTCCCTATTGTCCTCGATATTCAGCCCAGCATCATCGAGTCCCACCTTCTTCCTCTGAATTTCCTCCTGGGTGACATAGGATCTGTGTGTCAATGCTCGTGTCAGAATATTGATATCAAAGCTCTCTTTGAGCCTCTGATTGAACGCCCATATCTCGGCCTCTCTGTTCCACTCCAGGAATGAACGTCGTGGCTCAGGGGGCTGGGGCCCAAGCTTTTGTTTACGTCGTGAGATCGCCTTTAGCACTGGGGCAACCCATCTTTTGATGCCTCTCTTGCCTGTGGAACAAAATACGATGAAAAAAAAAAACATTTTGCATTAAGACCTCACAGGATTGGCCTTCCAGAGAATTGATTTGATAAGATTGTGAGTTTAAAACGAAATGAGGTGGAGACCACTAGCGACATAATGTAAACATCAACAATCATTCAGTGACGAGAAAGAAGAGAGAATTCTTTGTAGTCAGGTGACGATATTTCTGTTGTCATTATCACTTTTATAAAGACAACTAAGACGAGACTTTTGGTCTCGTGAAATATTTCATAGAAAACAGAGGTTTCGTCCTCGTGTGATACCCCTTATTCCCTACAGAAAAATCCGGATGCGTAACCAAGGTTTTTCCGTTGGTTTCTATCAGGGTTGGGCGTGTAAATTACGTTGGTAAATTACACCGTTTTTTACCGACGTAATTTACGTAAATTACCTCAACGGGTTTTTTACATTTTTTACATTACTTCGAAAAGCTTGCATTTTTCGGTTACTAGAATGTTTTATGTTATTCCGACAGTCGATGACGCAGTATTGGACGCATAAATATTATAAAAAACAGTATATCATGTCCCGAGAACAGATAAACCGCGAATTTTAACTTCACTTTGTTCGGTTAGAACGCGGTTCTCGGTACTTGAGGCATAAAAAATTATTTTATGTCCCCAGGTCCATAAAACCGCGATTCTAACATCGATTCCCTCGGTTAAATCGCGGTTTCCGGGCACAGAGACAAAATATTGTATGCCACACGGCGATAAAACAATTTTACCTCACGTGGTATGATTCACGGCATTTTAAGAAACTTAAAAACATGAGCCCCATACCTCATAAAGAGTAAATTTCACGGGGGGCAAACATTGCAAAAGACCAAAGTCGCAAATCATCTCCATTCTGAGAAAGTCAATCTCATTATTTATTGAGCTTTATTGGATTTTCCTCTTTATTATTTGGAGCCCTGGAAAAGTTCAGTTGTCCCTGAAAAAAACCATTTTGTTCTGAAGCGTTAAAAAAAGCTACCAAAGCAGTTGAATATAGTTTTGTCATTTAAGAATGCTGAATGAAACAGGATAATATGAAGGCAAAAGATGATGGCGCGACAAATTCAATAGAGATTAATGATAATGAGATTGACCCTTGTAAAATTCATCCCTTACACGGCGTGACCCCCAAGACGTATGATCCTGATGAGGTATGAACCTCGTGACTTTTATCAACCTCGCGAGGTACGATCTTGGCGAAGCTTCACCGTTTACGATAAAAGATAACGTCGGCTAGTTTTTTACATTTTTTATATTTATTACGTAAATTACGGGCTTTTTACAATCTCATGTAAAAAACTGCCGTTATCGACAGATGCCCAACCCTGGTTTCTATGCTCAAGTCCTTCCTTTTTCTTGAACCATGCCTTCAATGTACTCAATTGAAAGCTTGTTAGAATAGAATAGAAAAAGTGCGGCTGGTCACTTAAAGTGCCCAGAGTCACCTAAATCATACGATCTTTTGTAACTTCCGCCTTAGTTTCGGTCAGTCACACAGCCCCAGCCCTGTGTTTCTCACTAGGCTAATAAGGCTGGTGACAGCCGCTTGTTGTAAGTCCTCTGGTTTCAGGAAAGCCTGGCCCCAGATTTTATAGCGACGGAGTGCTAATAGGGGGCATTCACATAAAATGTGGATGACGCCCTCCTTATCGCCTCCGCACAGTCTGCAGTCTTCTTGTTCTGCAAGTTTCATCTTGAACAGATGAGCTCTGAGAGCTGTATGACCCGTAAGGAGCCCTACTGCTACCCTCAGATCCCCTCTGTGCAACTCCAGAAGCTTTCTGGTCCTAACTCTTAGTTGCCCTCTCATAAGCAGTTTCGCTTGTCTGCAGGTCGCAACTTTCTCCCAACGCCTGACATGATCCCGCTGGAAATGATCTTTAATAAGAGTTTTTCCCACTGCGAAGGGCATGCCAAGCAGGCCGTGTGAGGGCACACTTTCTGTACCCTCCTTGGCCAGCTTATCTGCCTCTTCATTACCCAGAATCCCATGGTGACCTGGCACCCAGGTTACGGTGACCCGGTTGTTTTTACCCAGTGTGTCCAATGCCTGCATGCATTCCCACACCACCTGTGACTCTGTAGTGGGTTTTTCCAGGGCGTGTATCGCCGCCTGGCTGTCACTGCAGATGAATATTTTCATCTTTTTTGTGTCTCTCGCGTTCAGATACTCTGCACACTTAAGTATGCCCAGCATCTCTGCTTGAAAGACGGTTGAATGATGGCCCAGCGGAAAACTCTCTCCGAAGCCATCTTTCAGACGGTAGATGCCTGCCCCAAAACTTTCATTGAAGCCAGAGCCGTCCGTAAACCAGTAGTCCTCTCTTGGTCCTGGTTTACGTTTCGAGTCTAGCCACTCCTGTCTGGGTGGTATACTCGTTCTGAAAGTTTTCCTGATCTGATACTTCCTAGGAATCCTATCCGTCTTACCTATGAAGGGTCGATCATTGATTAGGCTAAGCCTTGTATGGCCTTGGCCCGTCATCTTCCATTCTAGTTGGCACCTTAGTCTATATGCAGTTGTGGTAGCACAACTCACAACCCTAAGGTCGAGGGGTGGGATACTGAGTGCTATTTCTAGCGCCTCAGTAGGTGTCGATTTCATGGCTCCTGTTGCAGCCCTCAGGAAGGTTCCCTGTAGGCTTTTCAACAGGTTCCTTGTTTCCGTCTTACTCACCCTCGGCCACCAGACGACCGCAGCGTATAACAGTCTCGGAAGTAGAACTATTTGGTAGAGCCAGAGCATCATTTTAGGATTGAGTCCCCATGTCCTGCCCACAGCTCTCCTGCATGCCCACATAGAGGCAAACACTTTATTTCTCTGAGTACAGATATGTTCTTTCCAGCTGAGTTTATTATCCAGGAGGACACCCAGATATTTCACTCTGCTGGTGTAGTTAATCTCCGAGCCATTTAGCTTCAGAGGTTGGATCTTTTCCAGTTTATAATTTCTGGTGAAAACCAGGATTGTTGTTTTGGCTGGATTTACCGATAGGCCAGTTACCCTGCACCAGTCCTCAATGATATTGAAGGCTGTTGCCATCAGGTCCCTTAGCACCCTCAGAAATCCGCCTTTCACAACAACTGCCACATCATCGGCGAAACCGATGACGTGGAAGCCGGCCTCACTTAGTTGATTTAGAAGTCCATCTACAACCAGGTTCCATAGCAGGGGCGAGAGAACTCCCCCCTGCGGACAGCCCCTAGTCGGACGTCCCTCCACACATGCCCTCCCATGTCCTGCCGACAGTCTTCTGCTTTTCAGCATGTTTTGTGTCCAAGCAATGATAGTCTTGGACACCTGTCGTTCTTCCATGGCTTTTTCTATAGCCGGATTCGAAGTGCTATCAAAAGCCCCCTCAATATCCAGAAAGGCGCCTATGGCAAAACCCTTGACCGCCAGTTGTCCCTCAATCAGTCCCACCAGGTGATGTAAGGCGGTATCTGTTGATCTTCCCTCCCTGTATGCATATTGACAGGGGGAGAGGGGTCTGTCAGCCAAGGGCCCGGCCTTGATGTGTCTATCCACCAGCCTCTCCAGGGTCTTCAGGATGAAGGATGTGAGGCTTATAGGACGGAAGTCTTTTGGTTTTATATAACCGGTTTTTCCCGGCTTGGGAATGAATACTATCTTAAGCTTATTAAATAAAATTTAAAATGAAACCTGATTTTCCCACTTGTGCCAATTTTTCATTAACTTATGAGAGCTTGAGGCAAAAATTGAATTTTCATGTTTTACTTGGAAAATAAACTTTGGTTGGATTTTTCGATGCTCCTAAGTGAACTAGGCAGGAATAGCTATGAATCATTTTGCAGAGCATTCACTAATATTCAAAATGGTTCATGATAAATCTGATTTAATTCAATTTTTAGTAAGTTATTGTAGATTGATTGCATTTTTCACGTTGTGTGACACCTCAGAAAGGACAAGGCTTTAGACTTGACCAGCGGGGATATATCATATGTCGATTTAAAGTTTCATCGAGGTTTTCAAATTGAGATCGCATGTTATCTATTTACCAGATCAATTGTTATAAGGGATAATGCAGCGATTTTAACATGTCACGTTTAGAAAATTTCCACGTTGCTCCTTTTAATGATGAGATTTGCTCGGTTTCTGTTCAAATCTATCGGCATATCTTATACTCAGGTGAAAATATATTAAATTCCCTTGAAATTGATTTAAGTAAATTATTGATGAAGGTAATTTTCCTTAACTCTCTTCTGTTAAGGAAAATTACCCTAAATTATTTAATTAAGGCTAATTTCCCTTAACAGAAGAGAGTTTTTATTAAAAAATTGAATTTCATGTTTATTGTAAATTTAGCTTGGTTTGGATTTTTCTATAACTATTGGTCAAGTGAATGAAACTATTCTAATACCATTTTAAAAAGTATTTGTTATTATAGAACGTGAAAATTAGAATTTAAAAAATGACATTAGAATTTAAAAAATGACAATGAAAAAACGCTGAAACCTCATTGATTGTGATTTATGCATTGATTTATTTATCGATCCATTTCGAATAGTGTCCGATTGAAATATTGCTCATGTGTATGCATTTTAATAGAAAATTAACGTCACATTTCCTTCATTTTTGTGGCTTTTTAAACTATTCGTAGTCGAGATTTTGCAAGAAAATTCATTAATTCAACTTATCAATTTAATTAATTTCAAAGTGTAACAGTGCATTAACCTTATTATCTTCTGATTATTATCCTTAAATAATAATAAATAGTATTAATACTATTTACCGTTGTAGAACATTGGAAAAAAGTTATACTTAAATATTTCGAATCGAAAAATGAATAATATGCAAAAAACAATAATTTCTTAAATCGCAATAATAATCACAATCTTCAAGAACATTAAAACACAATTAAGTAAATACAAAAAAAATAGTGTGAGACAATCTCAATAATCTCATCTTACCGACAAAATTAACGGTATTGGGTGTCTGCAAATGAATAACAGTACGAGAGCACGACCTCAGCACATTCATCTTGATTCCTTCGTGTCACAAGAATAATCACTCGCGAATTCCGAAAATCACAGGATAAAACAACATTTGTGCTCCGATTTTAGTAAACTCTAATCGCCACTGCAGAAAGGGAGGTTAGCCGTTGGCGTAAAGGCAGGCTCCGAAGCTGCGTTTCGGAGCCGACAATTTCCACGTGCGCGACGACTGGATTTCCGCTAAAGAGCGCAATTCATTGGCAATCCCCCTCTTCCCTCATTGGCTGGGGCCACCCCCACTCCCCAAAACTATTGTCCAATGCCAATGGCTGTGATATTCCTATTTACTTTGTTTTTTTATTATTCGTCGCGCAGGAGAAGTTACGTCTGCGATGAAAATAAAAGTAAAAAACTGAAATATTGAGCAGTTGGAATAATAACAGTTCTGTATGTTTGGGATTTCCTCGATTCGGTCAATCGTTTCCAACGCCATTGCGAGTAGTAGCCCGTGTCTACTCCGCAGAGGCGTTACATCGTGCACCAAGGAGTCAATGGTAAGACGACAAGTGCCACTGTGATTGATCGACGCAAAAGGAGAGCAACAATTTTGTTGTTGAAGTTTTGAAGGTGAAGAGAAAGAACATTTCTAATTAATTGAGGATGACGCATCCGGGAATGGCTTTTGTACTGGTTGTCGGGGTTGGTTTAGCAACAATATTGTATTACATGTTTGCGGATTCGAATAATTCACATAATTCACATCATTCTCATGGTGATGGTGGCATCCCTCCGGATCCGCCGAATAACTCGTGGACGTCTGGTGACAGGTAAATACGATGTTTGGGGGGATATAAATACGTTTTGTTTTTGCTCGCTGGGTAATTATTTTTGGGATTTAATTTTAGATCGAGATATAGAAAGAAGGAGTCTAGTGCTGGCAGTGAAAAAGCTAGCTGCACAATTTGTCTGAATGATATTGGCGTACAACAGATTGTTTATGTTCATCCGTGTAGGCATCACTTTCATGAGTCTTGCATTCAGGAGTGGAGAGATCAGAGACAAATGGTAATTTTTTAAATTCTTTTTTTAACTGCATTTTTTAGAATTTTTTTGGAATGGATTGGGGTGAGTGGGCAAAACGGAAACATTCAACTTTTTTGGGACAAAAACTTTTTTTTCGGACAAAGTTCTAAAAAAAGTGGTTTTTTCTGTGGGTTACAATTGTCTTCGACTGCTCAACATGAGAGATTTCAATTTTTCGTAACCGAAAATTCAACTTAAATCAAACCCTTGACGTATAAATGTATCTATTAGGAGAGAATGGGGCAAAATGAAACAGCCGAAAGATGACTATTTGGGGCAAATCAAGCAAAAAAACATTTTTTTATCAACTTTTGTTTATCAACTTTTTTCTTTATTGGGAGGACCGATGTGAATAATAATTTTCTATTCGTCTTATATTTCAATTGATTCTAATTCAATTGATTAGATTAGGCCGATTGCATTTTTCTTTTTTCATTCCAATGAAATTCAGCATCACATTTTTCTTTTTCCCGCTCTGGGTCTCCCCCTGGGCCTTCCTCTGGACTTTGGATTTTGCTATTCCATTTTCTTTTCAATTAATCCCTTGACAAAATCGTCTCGCGTCAAAATTTCTCAATCATTTTCTATTCTACTGAATGGAAAATTATTATTCTCATCAGTACTCCCAAGAATAAAAAAAGTTGATGAAAAAAAATTGATGAAATATTTTTTTTTGCTTTAACTGAGTCAAATAGTCGTTTTTCAACTGTTGCAGTTTACCCCACTCTCCCCTATTTATTCATCGCTTTGGTGTTACAAACGTTTTCTTTGTTTTACACCTGTAAACCTCCTCCTGTCCTTAATAATTAGATAATGCTTGACGTATAAATTATTTAAATAATTTTGTGAATATGATCGCTAATTTTTGCTTCTTATCACGTAGAGATCAATATTTTCATTCGATAATCATGTTCACTATACAAGATAAAGAAATTAATTCTTGTCGAATTGGAGTTTATTCTTCTCCAGTGCACAGAGATAATAATAGATATCACAGGATAATAACAGACGTAGAGTAATTGAAGCATGAATCACCGTTAAATAGAAACTAAATCATTCTGTACTTTGTGTTCACAGGAAAGTCACAACCTATGTCCAAACTGTCGAAAAAAGATTGAATCTGTCCGTTGAACTCAGCAGCCAACTATGTTATCGATTCCTTTTTTTACGCAAAGATAAAACCACTTTCATGTGATTAGACCAAAGTCATTTTTTTATGTTTTCCACGGGCGTTACAATTATTTCTCAATTGTCAGTCACCGAGTTGGGTAGGTTCACCCAATAGTTAATCAACCTAGTGATACATCTAGGATTTTTTTATTGGAAAAACAATATATTTTAATGGAGAAATCTCAGTCACAAGAATTGATTAAACTGAAAACCACTGTTCTTCCCTTATTATTTCACAGTGTATCATTGTGGTGATACATCATTGTTAGGAGTTTAAAAGTTTGGCTCTACAAGATGAAACTTTTCTAGAAAACGTAAAAGCGCGTTATACAATTAAAAAAAATAATAATAATCTAAGAACTTATCAATCGTACAAAGTTATTGTCGATAGTGGGAGGAAAATCTCATGCTCATCATATCATTGGTGAAATTGAAATTCAATCTTTATTCTCCATTAGTTCAATGGTCAATGAGTTTCTTAACGTTCATTAAGGAGTAGCTTATGCTTTGACACAAATAAAGGAAAATTGAATGACATTTCATAGTGAAATGAGACAATTTGCGTGATTATCACAAGTGAGAAAGAATCAACCAAGAGACTGACGTGTTTTAGGACAAAAATAACTGAATGAAAAAAAACAAGAGTAATCACGCCCGTGTAACTTGGCCACTTCTCGTGGTTTTTGTTTTTTTTTAATTAGAAAATAATACATTTTGCTTGTTAGCCATGGCTGTTAATCTGACATCGAAAACGACCACAGAGACTGCACTTTTTAACAGTCAGAAGCGAAAAAAACTGGTCGTGTTGTTAGATATTCATGTTTATTGATACAATAAAAATCAAACTGTTCATTCACGCCACTTTCTGCTTGAAACAGCAGATTCCAATCGAAACAAGAGTGGGAAAAATGAACATTCCGCGGTGATAATAGCGTCGACAATTTTGCCCCACGATTTTTCATTTAATCCTTAAGTGGTCTATTTACGTGTATTTTACGATTTCGAGACAAAAAACTTGAACAAAAAAAATTATTCCACGTTCACAGGTAATATTCAACTTTCAATGAATAGGAAATGGGGGTGGGGAAGCGAAATAGTTGTCGGTAATCCAGTAACTTGATTTGAAAAAGTGCAAAATTATGAAATTTTGAGGTTAAATATCGGAATTTTCAGCGAGTCGAGTTTTCAGAAATTTTAATAATTCATTGCTGTAAGCCTGAACCGAAAAAAGATGTTGATGTGTTCCATATAACTGAAAGTAGGAATACAAATTTTCATGGATTTTTCACTCATTAATTTTTTGCGTGAAAGGAAAAAACTGCGGGGATTCCCTCATTATGTGACCACTCAAGGGTTAAGGTATATCCCAAGACAATCGGATCCAAAAGTTAGTCCCTATGGATTTTCGGAAAAAATTCTAAATGTTTTAAGGCATTTATGGCGTAGTCAGGGGAGGTTGAAAAAAAGTGAAGAAATTGATGTTTTTTTAAAATACATTCTTTGATTTTTTCAAAACCCCTATACAAAATCCCAAGTAGCCTGGGAGAATGGGTGAAACAGAAATTTTTCTAAAAAATGCATTTTAACACAAGCTCTTATGGGAATTCGGAAAAAAAAATTAAAAATAGTAAAAAGTCGCCATTTTTCTGAAATTTCGCACTTGGGTGGAGCTTTCATGGAGGAACATAGAAAAAAATTATCCAAGTGGCTTAAGAGAATTGTTTAGAAGAGATAATTAAAAAACTTATGAAAATAGTATATTTCGATACGAGTGGGACGGAATTTTCTCAACTTGTGTGATTGCCAGTCCTCGGCGTTGCCTCGAGTCAATTTCACACTGTGAAAATTCCTGTCTCACATGTGTCGAATAATATTTTTCATCACGCTGTGACGAAAAGTCAACTTTTCGGCACGCTCCGCGTGCCTAAAAGTCCAATTTCCGCCACATTGTAATGAAAAATATTGTTCGTAACTCGTGAAAAAATGTTTTTTAGCTCGTGGGATTATATCACTCGCCTTCGGCTCGTGATATAAACCTCTCACTCGCCAAAAAACACTTTTTTGCACTCGTTACGAAATATACTATTTCATCACGCGGTGCGAAAAAGTAACTAAAAAGTCCCTTTTCCACACATTGTGATGAAAAATATGTTCCGATACTCAAGGGAAACGAGTTTTTTGGCTCGTGGGATTATATCACCTCGCCTTCGGCTCGGGCTATAAACCCCCCACGAGCCAAAAAATACTTTTCCGCACTCGTATCGAAATATACTATTTTGACAGTGATATTATGTTCAGCGAGTGGTTGAATGGTCTTTTTTTCGTTTACAACTAACAAAGACTTTTCGTTTGCGAGTAAATGAAAAGGCACTTTTCGGCACGAGGTGAACGTAGCAGCAGTGTCAAAATAATATATTTCGTAATGCGTGCAAAAAACACTTTTCCCACGAGTATCGAACAATATTTTTCATCACAATGTGTGGAAAAGGGACGTTTTAGGCACGCGAAGCCTGCCTAAAAAGTTACTTTTTCGCACAGCGTGATGAAAATAGGAATTCTGCGTGCGCAACTTGGAATAACGACAACGTCGAGATTAGAAACCGTGGATGGATAAGCGCGGTAACTACGAATGGAGTTGCGATGATACATTTAGCTATGAGAAGGACCATAACAGTTGAGTGGATCAGTGCTGCCAACTTGTACCCCGAACGGCACGACGTTGTCACTTTTTCTATCTACATTAATTATTTTCCAATTATCCAAAAGACAAGCTAGAAAAATAAAAGAAGGCATGGAATATATGGGAAAAAATAGGAAAGCTATTAAAAAAATATTTCGAACATAAAAATGGTCTAAATAGATTGAAAATTTGTAATTGAAATATTGTTTTTTTTGTTCAGCGATTGGTTTTCTGCGAGAGAACAATAGATTCCCCTTCGTCTCACCTCCTTCATGGCCACCCCGTCATAAATACCTTAATTTGTTGCATTCTCATAAGTTATTGAGTTTTTCTATCCTCATGTGTTGTTGATTCAGGCAACAAGAACGGTTTGAATCAAATATAGCACATTACATGCCCGAGCCTTGGAAAACAGATCACCGTCCCCCATGGCAAGCACGTGGGGGAGGGTGATATGTGTTCCATGGCGAGGTGTGTATATTAATTTTCAGGTCCCGTGACACAAAAAGAAATTATTTGTTGATTAATTTTGTGAATCAAATAAGAAATGCTTTCACGAAATTTTCATTTTTAAAGTTGAATATCGCAGAAACTACGAGGAGAGAAATATTCAATAAAAATAACGTATCTTTTCCGTAATTCCGAAGCGAAATGTGGTTGTAGGAAATTTTACGTAACTGCCATGGAATTTTTCCGGAGCGTTCCGTAATTTTTATCTGAATCTCCTGTGAAAAATTACGATACCGTCACTTAAATGTTCTGAGTCGATTCACTCACCGTAATCGGTGAGTGAATTGTGAATTCCGTAATTTTTACTGAACATTTCTCTGCGTGTATGTAGTACAAAAATTTACAAAAAATTCACCGTATTCGTAATTTATCAATCACGGATTAGTTTTTTAAGAATATCGTAAGAACCGTTTTCTCATAAGATGGAAAAGTCGAGTTCGGGCGGAACCATCACCCCCGTTTGGCCTATGCCGCGCCTGTTAGAAGCCCGGATTATTATTTATTATCTGTATAGTACAGCTAATTAGCCTTTTTTTTCAATAGCTGGGGACTATTATAAAAATTATCGATGAAAAACATGGGGACAATCGTAAAAAAAAACGTATTTTCTAGGGATATACCTTAAAAAAATCGTGTTTCAATCACTTTCAACGATATTTCTGGTCAAGCATTAACAACCAAAATATCTCAAGTGAAACGATAAAGAATAAAACATAAACAAAAAACCAATTCTAATTAATCTAGTTATACAGATTGTGATTTGTCAAGTGAACAGTATCAGAATCACCCTGAAATATATATTCTATGTGACCTCCAGTTTCTAATATAAAGTCTATAAAAGGAACAAAAAAAAGTTTTAAATAAAAATTCAAAATGAAGTAATCACTGATTAAATCTGTTACAAATAATGTTTGGGTCGTAACAAAATGAAAAATAAAGAGAATAACGATCTTGAAGGAATCCAATTGCTATTATTATTCCGAGCATTAGTTCCTCGCGTCATCAAGTGCCCCCAAACATCGGATGTCTCGTAACACTTTCCATGGGCAGTTGAGGTACTAGCGAGTTAGTACTAAAGATCTTTGGCAATCACCGGTCCTATTACGGCCCTGTTACGTTATTCTCACTGCCTTCCCCATGACTGCCTACATTGAGACATTAGAATATTCTCCGGTTCTTTCGCATGTACGTGCCACATTCCACTGAAAAAATCCTGCATACTTGGACTTGAAGAACTCGTTCGTGTTGACATCACATATACAGGCCAATCTCGGATTGGTATCTGTGGGCTCTTGTGGGGGGCTCCATTTTTTTCACGTACACAGAAAAAAATTGAAATTTCATGGACGGTCGACTAATAATTTTCCTGACAGTGATATTGAATTCAAAAGGGGGGGGGGGCTAGAAATTTCAAATTTCAATTTAAAATTCAATGAAATTTCAATGAAAACAAGAATATAAGTACCAAATTTTTGCTAAACTATTATCAATAATTATTAATTATTATAAATCCAATGGGGGGGGGGGGGGGTTAAATTTCAGTTGAAAAATTTAAAATTCAATTAAATTTTCATCAAAACATGAATATGCAGTACCAAATTACGCTGAAATGTCAATTAATTCAAGATGAATGAATATATTTATTACACAGAAATATCGTCATAATATCACAAAAATAATTTCTTGCTCCAAATATCTCATCTCTTGAGGATAAATTTCTTGGGATGAGAATTCCGGATAATGTGTCAGACAATGTCCGATTTCGGTGAAGTGTTCATGACTTGAACATGAACATTTCATGATAAAGTAAGAATTTTATGAAAAAACCGATTTCCTGCCACAAGAAATCGGTTTTTTCCTGTCAGAAGATGAGAAAATGACAAAAAATATTAAAAGCTTTGATTCAGTGAATTATGAATCAGAGACTTTCATATTGAATGAATAGAGAGTTTATGCAAAGGAAAAGCTCCAGGTATTAAAAAAATATAACCGTCGCTTACGCTCAATCGCTTTGAGTTCGAAGGGAAGCAATATCTTCTATTTCTTTTGGCAAACGATTCTTGTCTTTTACGGAATATTATCTCATTTAGAAAAAAAACATCACCATTTCATTCAGTAACTTCCTCCCTAGCGCGAAGAGCACCGATTTCTTGCCTGAAACCTACCATAAATTCATCAAATATGTATGCGATATTTCTCACTCAAGAAATGATTTTTGTGATATGTCGATTTTTCTTTTAGTGTAGGCCCAAACAAGCAGGGATGGCCATTAATATTAAATTTCTTCAATATTAAGGAATATATAATATAATATAAAGGAATTGTGACTTACATTGATCAATGTTTAAATACACTCATCAAAATTTGAAAATAATATAATATTAATCGTTTAAATTTCCGATTGATGATGAATTAAATATTTGATATCATAGAACTGTAAATTTTGCATTAAGTGAATATTTATAATTTCTTAAAAGGGATTATCGATTAATAAATAGTTCTACATTTTGATATTTAAATTGATGATTACTTAAATAATTAAAAGTTTAAGAGTGATGTTAACTACACACATTGATGGCTTCAAAATTTAACGGTAATAATGATTTATGAATATGGCTATGCCTGCAAACAAGACTTGTTTGAGAACTTGTTCGTTTTCCTTTCAGAACAACAATGTGACAAAAATATCCAAAAGGTGTACCGTAAATTTCATTCAAAAATATTCAACAGTCTACACGTGTGATTCCGTTTGCAATGTGATGATCGTGTTTGTGTCATACACGACCCTAATGCGCGTTCTGCCGGTGAACGGTGTGTGGGAATGTTTGGATACATGCGGTCAGTCACTCGCAGACGTTTCACCCGGAGGACCACTGAGCTCATTGTTCACGTGCTCCTTGCACTGAATCAACAAATTCCTCAGCATTCCTCCATTTTTTCAAATAATAAAATTGAAAAATCAAGCTAGTGAATTGACAATGAGTTATCATCATGAGAGATTACTTTGAAAAATTCGAATCTGTATTAAACGAGCAAAATGCATCCACGGAAATATGATACGGCCGGTGGTGATGATTCTGCTGATTGCACAGAGGGTGACCAGCGATGGAGGCAGGGGTGAGTACATTTACCTCAGTCCACCGTCCCACAATTTTTTCAGTCTCCTCACATGTCACTACACCTTCAATACCCTTCGGTCAATGCAACGAATATCTGACAGCATCGAGGATTATCCGGGTCATTGGGTTACCCGAGAAATCGATTTTTTTCGCCAACACTATTTTTTTCAACCCGAGAGAGGAGAAAAAAAAATCCGTCAACTCGTCCTCCTTCACAGCACCGGTCTAATGAAACCTGTACAATTGTTAATATTCAACTGTGTATCGTATAATTCTCAAGTGCGCCACTTAAGTCCTCTCCTGCGCTCTTTCAGAATGTCTTGCCACGGTCAATATCATCGAACACTGTATCGATGAACTTGTTTCATCCAGCCGGAAGCGTATCATTTACCGATTTCTTCAATACGTAATGGGGTTACAGCGTGGATGAGAGAGAGAGAGAGATTAAATTATGCGTGGATAATTGCCCGCCAAATTGATTCGTAAAGTTGTTGACAAGGTCATAAAGCAATTCGATCAATCGATGTGATTGAAAAAAAGACCAACTGTGTAATCTTCTCGAGTCCACAATTGGAAAAAAAATGTAACAAATGATCGGAAGTAAAGATGTAGATGCAGTCCGGCACTTTCATTCCTTTTATAAACTCCTAGTCTTATTATTTACGTAATGCCCGTAATTGAAGTGAAGTAGAAAGTGTAGTGGCAATGAATCGCGTGCTCATGAGATACGATTATTTTTTATTTTCCTCCGTCTAACCGTCTGATTTCGGTGAATGTACGAAAGCAAATCGCCTGCACAAAGGCGCCAGTCCGCACGGCTAATTCAAGAAGATACACGAGCCCACAGAATTATCCACGGTGCATGCAGACACCTGTCTTCCTGCTCCCACTCCCCCCCATCAATCATTGTGAGCATATATGAGTTTTTTGATTGTCCTGCAGTGAGAGGACTTGTAAAGTCATGGGCACCATTAGTCTGGCTAGCACCTGGGGAAAGATTCATGCCCCTTGGAGTACCGGAGTTCCTCGAGCACGTGCAAGCCGGTGACAATTACCTCCGCACGCGCACTGATGTTGGTGAGAAATTTTCCTCACTTCCTATGCTTTTTTACTTCACCTTTCCAACTTTCATTTGATGAAGATACTCGTCCAATTCACATTGACTTTTGCAAAAGGAACATTGGACAATTTTCCGAGGAAAATTTGCCGTTTGAGTAATTGATTACTCATAAGTTTGGTGATGAATTTTCTTGAAAAAGTGGACTTCCCTTTTCCTTTCCACCTTTTTATAATGATGAAAATTTTGAGTGTTGTCTGCACTGAGAGAAAAAACGACCTAATAGCACGGAACGCATTTCTTTACTCAAACACAGAGACATAGTATATTTCGATACGAGTGAGACGGAATTTTCACAAGTGTAGAGTTGGCGGCCGGAGGCGAAGTCAAGGGCTGCCAATCACACGAGCTGAAAACTCCCGTCTCACATGTGTGAAACAATATTTTTTGACAGTGATGTTATATTGCGCGAGTGGCCGAAATGTGCCTCTTTCGTTTAGAAGTAAACGAATAGTATATTTCAGGGCCAGTGCCATGGGGTTGGCGTCCGATCCAAAGGCGAGGACTGGCCAACCACGTGAGTAAAAAAAAACCCATGGCACTAGTCGTGAACGATATTTTTCCGTAGTGATTTTCAGTTTTACGAGTTTGGGGAATGGTCAATACCAATCTCCGGACGAGGAAAAGTGAGGAAAAGTGAAGAGTTTACTTTTCTTTTACGAGTAAACGCACTTGAAAAGGCACTTTTCGACACGAAGTGAACGTAGCAGCAGTGTCAAAATAGTATATTTCGTAACGAGTGCAAAAAAGTGTTTTTTGGCGAGTGGGAGGTTTACATCACGAGCCGAAGGCGAGTGATATAATCCCGCGAGCTAAAAAACATTTTTTCACGAGTTGCGAACAATATTTTTCATCACAATGTGGCGGAAATTGGACTTCACTTTTCGTCACAGCGTGATGAAAATAAAATTTTGATTTTCTCTAATATGTTACTAATTTTCAGAAACATGTTACTGATTTCCAAAGAAATGTTATTTTTAGATATTTATCCCGTTATTAATAGTGATTGCAAACTTATGAAACTCAATAATTTTGTCATCAATTTTCAATGACGTTATCACTGGTCTCTAGTGACATCATCATTAATCTCGTAATGTCACTAATTTTCAAGGCCCCATCACTGATTTTCATGAACCTACCACTAAATTGCAGTGGTATAACTCACTGATGATCAGGGGCATTCTAGTCATCAATTACTGCCGAAATTAGATAGGCCTCGAATTCTGTGAAGTATTCATGTTCAAATCATTTCAAAACGATTGCTTTGCTTAAGAAATCGTTTTTTTCGTCGGGAGATTAGGAAATGAAACAAAATACTCAGAGCTTCTACTCAGGAAATCACGAATCCAATCGCAGTCGAGCAAATAAAATTGGCGGGAAAATCTTGCGATCTTATTATTATAGTTATACGGATGCATCTCCGTGTGGATTCTATTTCATAAGTACTCACCCAAAATCACGGGGGCGCAGTATCCGTAAAGCGCTAAAACAGATTTTAATATACAAAATTTGGTTCATTATAATTCTAAAAATAAAAAGTTATGATCTAATAAAACTTAGCGAAATTGTCTTGAGCCCTTCTTTCCTCGATGAAATTTTCTCCCACAAATTCCCAATCGAAAAATACTCAATGCGAAAATAAATTCCTGACATTTCAAATCAGTGACGTTGCTGAGGAATGAATCGTCGTTTCTGTATGGCAAGCAGCCGGCTGGCAAGGTTCCAATCTACGCGCTGGTGAAGAACTGTGAAGAGCCAGGTAAGACGTCCAACTCCATTGAGAGAACAATACGAAGGCGCGAGATATTGTCCGCAGAGCTCTACCAGTCGCTTCAGACCAATGAGTTGCCGTTGAGTATCAAGCAAACCATCACTAAAATGACAACATCAATGCCAGAAGCGAATAATGACGATGGAAAACTCATTAATGATGATAGCAGATTGAGGAAGCAAGTGCACTTTCACGTGACCTATTGGATGTTTTATCCTTTCAGCGAGGGAAAGGCCGTTTGTGTTCTGGATCTTGGGTTTTTTGGTACGTGGCCTATTCCGACAGTAGGGGGAGTCTGTCTAGGTAGACTCAAGGAGTATGGTAATCACGTGGGTGATTGGGAACACATGAGTCTCTACTTCAAGGTAATAATCATATTGAGATTTTCAGTCTTAGAGTCACGATTTTCATGATTGACGGCAAAAAAAACTTGAATTGAGTATATTTTATACTAGAATCAAATATGTGTAGGGGAGGGTAGGGCAAAACGGACCGCAGGGCAAAACGGACCACTGACAGAAAATTGATAATTTTTGTTTTGGCTTACGAATGAACACTTTGTAATCGTGATTTTCTTCGATTTTTTATTTTTGGGTGAAAATACCTAGATATGTCATGAAACGTGACATTCTGTTGAAATTTTTCGAGATATCGTCGTTTTTGTATTTTTTTGCTCGAAATTCACTTTTGCGCACTATGACATAGGTAAAAATCAGCGAAAGCTTTTGAAATTTTGGCTACTAGTTGGGATTGTCAAGGAATATTCCTAAACTGTTGAAAAAATTTAACTGAATTTTCCAGAAAATGACACTAAATTCAATTTAACGGAAAAAAGTCTATGAAATTTCAAGTTTCCCTGAAAATTCAAGGAAATTCCTGATTTTTCAGTGGAAGAACCATGAAGATTCCGAAATTCCCATGAATTTTCAATGTTAACATGATAATTCAATAAGAAATTGCTCAGAAATTTCAAAAAATTGAAAATTCAAGGACATTTTTGCTTGAAGTTTCCTAATTTCTATTCATTTTCATAGAATAATTTAACTGAAATTTAAAATTTCCATGAAACCGTCACTTGTTTCATATTTCAAGACTAAAGTCTGGAAACTTTACGGAAAATTTTTTAGAAGTGCATATCAAATTTTAGGTCTACATATTTTATAATTCTCGAGATGGATCAATTCACCCAAAAGGTTTGAGAAAACAAAATTGACGCATTTATATTTCACCTTTCATTTTCACATCAGGATAACTGACAAAGCCATATAACATGAATATACGGTTTTATTTTTTGAAAACAAGCATTGGCAACCTTTCGGAAATCTACTACTACCAATGAAATTGGTAGAATTGAAAATAGGCGAAAAAAGAAAACGTGGAGAGTAGCAGCCATATGTAATCCATCAGATAGTTTTTGTCGCGCTGCTTTTGTAGGCAAGAAATAAATATAAAAATATCCGTTTTGCCTTTAGACACAGATTGCTAGGAAATATTGGTTTTTCAAAGCCATTTGTGGTTTGAAGTGATTAGGAAATCTGATCAAATTGCGGTTCAACGACATTTTTTGTCTATAAAATCCCTGTGACGGTTACGATCCGCGAAACTCACTTTTAATTCAACACATTCAGTATTCCTGATTTGAAGGAAAGAAAAAAAAACCAAAAATTACCAATTTTTTGTCAGTGGCCCGTTTTGCCCTGCGGTCCGTTTTACCCTCCCGGTCCGTTTTGCCCTACCCTCCCCTACAAACTTAATTCAAGTATATTATTCTTGATTCGAGTAGGGGAGGTGGTACCTATACCGCTCACCTAAGGAATAACGACAATTCTTGTACCTCAACCCATGATTTCGAATAAAAATTCCAGTTGCATTGGATACTTTGGCTATTCAGTTAGATATTTTGACATCATAGACACTCATAGACCATTACGATCAAGCCAGAATGTTGGTCAAATCTCAAGGGTATTTCGAAAGGAAATACCGAGAGGGTCTGGAAATCCATAAAAACCCTAACAACCTCAACAGGGGCAGAGGATATCAAATGAACCCCATTTGGAAAACCGACCTCCCGGTTTTTTAATTGACCAACTGATCAATTAAAAACATACGATTGGCTGAACCCCTCCCTTCCCCACCATCACAGGGGAAGATACAAGGACAACCCCCAGACATCGGAGCTCAGAATCGGAGCTCATAGCCCTGAAGATGTAGACTGCAATGTTTGCGAAACGTCGGCGCAATGCTGCACTGATAGAACGGATTAATTATTGTTAACGAATGGATTTTGGTTGGAGGTTAGGGTCTATTCGGTCTCATCAAATGTTCATTCGTTAATAGTTAACGAATGTATATTTGAGGAGCTTTGTTTGACTTGACTTCCGCTGTTCAAGTGAACCATTCGTTAACTATTAACGAATATTCATTTGGTCATATTCAACTCTACCATTCGTTAATAGTTAACGAATCTCGTTTGGAATAAATGAATCATTCTATCAGTGTGAAACCAAACGCGGCATCCATCCGGAAGCCAATAATGTTATCATAGACACTAACTTCTTGGTGAAATTTCGATAATTTTTTAAAAAACGAAAATGAGAGCTGAGTGTAATTACTGCTCACTCAACTCTCGTCTTCGTTGTTTGGTAATTTATCGACATTTCAGCAAGAATTGAGAGTCTATGATGTCACAATATCTAGCGGAACAATTAAAGAATGCTATGCAACTGTAATCTTCAGCCGAAATCATCGGTTGAATGCAAGAATTATTGCTATTCCTTAGGTGAGCAGTATATATGCCTATAGGCACTTGCCTTGTTAGCCCCAAATTACATCGTAAAGGCCCGAAAAGTGTGGGGTGCTATTTTCGTAATTTAAAGAGATGAAAAAAATGGGTTTTTGCGAGGATTATATATTGATAGCAGAGCCTTCAGATTAAATGAGAATTTGTTTCGGAAAAGTAAGTGGTTGTGGAGGAAAACGGATGAGTGGTATTGGCTGCTGAGCGGTACTGGTATCGCTTCCCCTCTAAAACATACTTGATTCAAGTCTCGGTCTGGACTATCCATTTTTTTCAGTAAAAATTTTCTGGTTATTCATATTGAGAATGATCCCGGTTCCCCTCTTACTCATCCAAATCCCATCCAACCATTTCCTATAACGTCACAAAGATGTGGAATGCTACATAAATTCTCTTCTTTAATGTAAAAACGAATGCCGCAAGGACGGCGGCACGTGTGAAAAAATCGTATAGAAATTTTCTGAACGGATTGCGTATAGAATTTCTATAGGATTTCCGTATACGATATTCGGATATTTCTATACAAATTATTTCTATACGATTTCTATAGGTTTGATCCTATACGACCCACTGCTAAGGAGTTACGACATTTCTCTACGTTTTTCTCTGGAGCGTTTGGACACTTTTCGTATGAAAATAAAAAAAATTTCATGTAAAAATTTATGTATAGAAAATTTCCATACGATTTTTTCATACGTGGCAGCTCAATATGTATCAGAAATTTAAAATGAAGAAATGGCTAGGAACCGGATAGCTCAGTCGGGAGAGCACCCGATGCATATTCGGAGGTTCCGGGTTTAAAAAAATGGGTATTTTACACTTGAATGGGGGATGGGTGTTTAAATTCGAGGTTGATTATTTCGTATCAGCCTGGCTTGTACCAAGCGCTCTCAAGTGTAATACAAGGGTCAGACACCAAGTGTGAGAATATAAAGGTCAAAAAGTGGAGGTTAAAAAATAAGGGTTGGAATATTAGAGTCAAAAACTGAGGGCTTGAATGTAAAGGTCCTTGAATCAAGTATATGTTATTCTTGCTTCGAGTATAAAATATACTTAATTCAACTATAATTTATACTCAATTCAGGTGAATTTTTTGCGTGTTATCTTATGATGATTGATGTTTCCCGAAAAAAGGGGGATGATTATCCTGTCGCCATGTACGTGTCCGCTCACGACGCTGGGGCATTCTACCGGTACGACCTGAGGACTGGGACTTTCGTTTATGAGAGCCAGGAGACGCGCAAGGGTATTTTCCAAAAGCCCATTTTCCCGGAACATGTTTTCACTTCTGGCGGATCGCATCCTGTGTTGTTCAGTGCCAAGGGGTCTCATGGACTGTGGACAGCACCGGGGAAGCACAAATTCGTGAGACTACCGAGACTGTACGACGAGAGTGGATTTGGAATCGCTTGGCCCACGTGGAAGAGGCTGGAGGTGCTCCCCGATGACGAGGCTGGAGGCACTCCTGCCTGGATGAGCTTCAGGGGAAAGTGGGGGAATCCCAGGAGCAATTGTCATCCTCTTGTCAGACTTGGGTTCAACATCTGTGAGTTTGTGGATGGACCGACTGGTATTCCTACCAAAAAAGGACGATTCCAATGTTGAGTGGTTTCGTGAGAGAAACTGTTGATTTTTTAAATTTTTATTAGTCTTTGTTTTTTTGTAATGAATAGTGATTTTTTTAGTCATGGATAATAAATTATGGGATAGGTTATTGTTGCAAAAGGAGATGGCTCGTTGGGTGCTGATGTCTGGATGGAATTGTGGAAAGTCGAGGCAATTCCAGAAGCAATTTTCATCCCCTCATTTGACGGGAATAAACGATTTCAGTGGCGAGAAGAGTTTGTTGGAATTTCGAAACATATTTTGTTGATTTTTTATTATTAGTATTTGTTTTTTGTGATTTTTTTAGTCACGAATAATAAATCTAAGGATCTTTTGTTACAAAAGGAAGTGGTTAATTGGATCCTGATGTTCGGGTGGAATTCCGGAAAGATGGGGCAATTCCAAAAGCAATTATCATCCTCTTGTTAGACTTGGGTTCAACATCTGTGAGTTTGTGGATGGACCGACAGGTATTCCTACTAAAAAATTACGAGGAGATTTGAGGAGAGTTTGTTGAGATTTTGAGAGAGACTTTGTTGATTTTTTATTAGTCTTTGTTTTCTCCGTAAGGGATAGTGATTTTGTTAGCCATAAATAATAAATTACAGGATCAGTTATTGTTGCAAAAGGCGTTGGCCCATTAGGTGGTGATGACTGAATGGAATTCTGGAAAGGTGCAGCAATTCCAGAAGCAATTTTCATATCCTCGTTCGACTAGGAAAGACGATTTCAGTGTTGATGAGAGTTTGTTGGAATTTTCAGGAAACAAGAGGTCGACAATTTATCAATAAGTTTTCATAACTGAATAAATTCAAACTCTTGAGTATTTTGTCGATCTTTTTTGATTATTCTTGAGACAGGCTTTTTGATTTTAAATAAATAATTCGAATAAATTAATAAATATGAATGGAAAATATAAATTGGCTGAAGGCGACCCTATCTAATTTTGCTTGACTGCAGCTACGGTAGTTGATTCCGAAACGCACTCATAGTGACAGCCCAATCACGCTGGACCGCCTTCTCAGAAGTCGACGAAATTAAAATTAAAATGCGTGAATGACAAATTGAAAGAATCACAATAATGACGTATGATAGATAATAAATTCATATTCGACAAATAACTTGAAATAATTCCCTAAAGCAGCTCGCGAGATTCCCGAGAATAGGAAATCGTATCGACGTGAAAAGAAAAAAAATACCTCCCGTCACATTCTCCATTCCTTGTTAGAAATAGTGAAAACAGTGATGAATAATAAATTTGAGAATAATTCGCTACACAAGAAGTTGCATAGCTCTATAGTTATTACAGGAGAGGTTTCAGAGGAGGTGGATTACTTCTAGGAGCAATAGTCACCCTCTTTATTGATTCATTTTGATCATTCTTTATTCTTTGCTATAAATAGTCATGTTTTCAGTGGTGAGTAATAAATTAGACCATAATTTCGAAATGCCCACATGAAAAGGGTCTACTTTGTCGATACGGAGTTATGTACTCCGAGAATATTGATATCATTCCGCACAATTCACACTCAAAATTATGTCGATAGCGTTGAAAATGACTTCGCTAGAAAAGTTCAAAGAAATAATTTAACATTTGTTGAAATGGGAATTGCGGAGATAGAACCGTGAATATCTCGTAAACTAGATGCGACAAAATGGGCCCTTTTCGTGTGGACGTACACAGTTGTTGTTACAAAAATAATTGTTCAATGGACGAAGAAAAAAATTTTGCATGACTGTTTTTTCAATTATAAAATTGATGTTGATAAGAATGGTGGGTGATCACATCGCGGGAAGTTATCGAGACTCATATCTCAGGTGCGATTACATCGTGAAAGTGTTCCACTCACTGAATGCATCCGAATAAAGTCTCGAAGATAAGGTAAAATGCATTTGTATGAAGGCCCCTGGACTCTCTCGCTCTACTTTGTTCATAGACACAGTCTATTTCCAATGGAATCACTTTTGATGAGTTTGCACGTTAAAATTCACTCAGAAATATCATCGTCGTCATCCGCCTCAATGGCAATACTGCGAACACCGTTCTTGAGGACTGGCGTTCCTTTATCTTTCCCCAAAACTCTTGCTTTCAGAGTGACAGTCAATGGTGCTCCAGATTCACAGCATTTCACTCGAATAGCTTCTTTCAAGAACTCTTGGTAGGCCAATAATTCCACCTTCAATCTGAACAAACAAATAACTTTTTTAAGAATGGTATCTCACTGAACAAATCATCAAAACTTTTAACGAAATTAGACAATGAACAGATGGAGGGATCAATTTGATAAAAATTAGAGGAGAGTGGGGCAAAATGAAACAGTCCAAAAACGATTGTTTGACGCAATTCAAGCAGAAAAAATTGTTTTTTTATTAACTATTTTTTTTGTCAACTTTTTTTTCCTCAGGGGAGTACTGATGAGAATGATAATTTTCCATCCCGTAGAATGGAAAATTATTGAGAAGTTTTGATGGACGAAGATTTTGTCAATGGATTATTCGATTGGAATTTAGTATCACATTTTCCTTTTTCCCCTCTTCTCCCTGTCTCCTCTTGGGCCTTGCCCTGAACTTTGGATTTTGCTGTTTCATTTTTTTTTCAATTAATCCATTGACAAAATCATTGCTCGTCAAAACTTCTCAGTAAAATGAGAAATTCTTTTCACCAGAATGGAAAATTATTATCCTCATCAGTACTCCCAAGAATAAAAAGAAGTTGATAATAAAAAAATTGAATAAAAATTATTTTTTTGTGCTTGATTTGCGTCAAACAGTAGTTTTTTGACTGTTTCGTTATGCCAAACTCTCCCCTATTCCTAAATTTTAGTAATCGTACAGCATTTGGGCCTGTTAGAATTTTTGTCTCATTTTAAATATTGCATTAAGGATATTTAAGTACTTAAGTTATTTTTTCTGGTTTCATTTGAATCCCATTTTACCCTAAGTTTCCGGACATTTTACAATGATTTTATTATTTACTCTCTGCAGATCTGAATGTGAATTTCGATATTGAACCAGTAGAATAACATTTTGTAATTCTGAAAAAAAAGAGAAAGTTTACCTTTCGAGGAAGATTGATGAAATAATTGAAAAATTATACTTTTTGAAAATTACGAGCATTTTTTACAAATAATTTATAAACAATCAATTTTCCACTACAAAAATGATTTATTTGGAATCGTACCAAATTTATTCATATTCAGAATCTTACAGGAAATCGATTTTATGTCTAAAAAAATGAGGTTTCCGAAAGTTTAAACAATTTCAATCATTCATTTATAAACAATGAATGTTCAAAAAAATAATAATTCTGTACAAAATGTTATTTAAATGCCGCTAAATATTCATTATTTTTTTCAAATTTTTCTCACGTGATTTAATAAAGAATTTTTTCGGTGAACAAATTGTGATCATTAGATGCCTTGACTTTCTTGAATTAAATTATTTCGAAACAATATCACGAACAAAATGGGATTGACCGTTTTCAAATCCTCTTAGTGACCGATCTTGTTCGAACACACAAAAAGAAGATTCAATTCCATTTATTCATTAGCGAGCAATTGAAGAAAAACTTTGTTACACCCGTACAGAAGAGTTCTAAAAATGGAATTTTCTGACTTTTTGAATCATACTGAACCGATATAACGCAAAAAACCAAAACATAAATTTGGATGATGAAAAAGCTTCCATTTGGAAGCAAAAAAATTAGAAAATCGAAAAATCAGTGAAAAACAAGACTTCCATTCGGAAGCAAAAGTCCTGAAAGCCTGAAAGCTATGTTGTAAACAAATGAAGTTTTGCAGGCTAAAAATCTTTTTCTGCTAAACTTGACACACGAGTTTCTTTGCAGGCAAGTTCTAGAGAAATATCGGATGAATTGTGAAGGTCAATGTACTTCTCAGTATAATTTCCTCAGTTACGATTTTGGCCGAACGGAGTGCGATATTCGGGGTTACATGACACATTCCACCAAAATGAGGGGAATATCTGCGAAAAGAAGGGAAAACAACTGATAGGTTGCTGTGGAATTATGAGTTTGATAACTCACTCGTCGTGAATTATCAAAATAAAACTGATGTGAATGTCTCACATGACCCACAATACTGCACTCTGATCGGTCGAAATTAGAATTGAGGAAATTATCCCTGAAATGCACTCGACAACCTCAATCCCTCTCCGAGTATAGAACTAAGAATACAATCAAATGTCATTACTTTAGGTCATCTTTTTCCGCTGCAAAATCAATGATTTTGCAGTTAGGATTTCCAGTGTCCTCGACAACTGCCGCTGGCTTTGTTTTGCTCTCATTGTGAATACACGTATTCCAGGGTATTGAAAACTCCATATGGTATCTGAAATAGAAAAAAAAAACAGTGAAATAACAAGTGCGCAGTGGTCAGTTTCGGCGTTGAGAGGTCGGAGCACATTGTTGGATTCCGGATTGAAGAAAATAATAACTTCAACTTAAACACGAAATCTTTATTTGTAGACTAAAATACAAGTACTGTTTGAATACTTTGGATATCTTCCTGAATAGATGTTACTCTGTAGATTGTTGGAATAATTATGATTAAGTTCTTCTTCTTCTTCCTTCCTTATTGGCTAGAATAATGATCAAGTTGGGGTGCAGAGAGTTTTCGGCTAAGTCCTCTGCGGGCGAATACTAGGGGTTGGAGTGACTGGAGGGAATAAGGCCCAAAATTGGTGATTGGCCAGTTTAGGTGAGGGATGACCCTTGAGGGTTGGACTTACGGAGGTGAGGGAGAGATATGTCTCGATAAGGAATTCAAGGAATCGAGTCATTAGGAAAGTGCCACATTAATGGTAGGAGAAATTGAAGTATTGAGAAAGTACCGGATTAGGGACCCGAGGTATGGGAAAGTACTGAGGAAGTAATTAAACGTTTAAGGATTTTTAATGAAAAGGATAATAAAATGATTTGTCGGAGTCGCGGCGTCTGGAGGGTTAAAGTAATAAAATGTAATAAAGTTATATAAAAAAAGGTCTTCGGAATATTTGGAACAAAGGTCTTGGAAATATTTGGTGGACGCCTGGAGAAGAATGGCACTTTTAGGAAACTTATTCTAGGAAAATAGCGGGTATACAACAACATTAAAGAAACTTCGTTAAATTCAACTTGGGAAAGTGAACTTTTGGTTAATTGGACTTTTGCTTGATTGAACTTCCGTCAATAAAACCTTTCGGTTATCTCGTGTTTTGTAAGAATATAGGTAAAATCTATGTTTGTGTTTGGAATTTCAGAGGGTTGTTATCCGTTTTGTTTCCTTCCTTGGGAAGGGGATAATCGATATTCCTCATTTATTTAATTGAAATTGAATTTTCTTGGGAGGGGGAATTGAGTTGAAGTGCGAAGATTTTCTTTCAGTTCATCAGTAGTTTCCGATTGTCCGTAGGGACTGAATACGATGCTTTGCATTGTGGTTCGTTTGGTTTTTTTCAATTTTTGCTTACGAATAGAAGCTTTGTAATTGTTCAAATTTAAGTTTCCAAATTTTTGTGTCAGGGTAACTAAATATGGTCCAAAAAGTCAGAATATGCGATTTCTAGAAGGCGTATTTTTTACTTTTTTAGATTTTTTTTAGTTTAGTTTTAAAAGGTTGAAAGATTTTTTCAAGTTTTTTAAACTTCAGGCTGTTCAAATTTTTTTCCTTCAAGTTTTTTTTGTTGCCAAGTTGTTTTGACCAAGTTTTTTTGATGAAGTTTTTTTTAACAAAAGTTTTTAGACATAGACCCTGAGAGATATCACTCGACATTTCACCTGTGATGGAGTTGAAGAAACCCCAGATGGGCGTCTAAAAATCCATGACGCTGTGGTTGTATCATAATATTGTTAAACGTGAGGCCACTGCCACCGCTGAAGTGCACGTGATGTTCTGAAAAGATTAAAAAATCTCCTCCAGTAATTACGTCTAATTGAATTTGAAATAAACCGCTCGATTGTTGCGTTGCACGAGGTAGTGGCCTCTTTATGAGCGCTCCATCATCATTATTTGAAAAATTTACCAACACGTGGGCCCTCAGTTACATTGAACTATTTTTAGATGCTTTTCTATTCTATTGATTGTGCCATGTAAATTACACAGTCATGCTCTTAATGAAGCCCCCAATTTCAAGTTGCAAACGTGAATACCCGGAAATTTCACTCAACCTTATCTGGAACATAGTTTAGGCACTGTAAATGCCACTGACATTTGCGTGCGTTATTCTGCGAATTAAACGAAGTTTTCAAACAGCACAACTTCCAGAATACACGAGTACTGAAACATCTCTCCCTCCACATATTGGGTCAAATTCAAGTGTGGGTGTAGGTGCGTGCAGTACGGCTACGTCAAACACTTGGAGGATGATACTCGGATGGTATACTAGCAGCATGCCACTTATCAAAATCCTCTCGAGGATCAATTACCTATGAATAATAATGAATTTATGAGTGAAGTGCACTTACCCTTATCGCCCATTGTTATTGTTGAGAATTTGTGGATTCTGCTGCTCTCATGCTATTGTTTCACTTGCATTATTCAGTGGTACGTGCATTCGTTGCAATGAGAGTACTTCTGACCGCTAAGGTTTATAGCGGAGTACTGTTAGGCAGTTGCTGCAGGGTGCTGCTGTTGCAGCTGAAATGTTGGGATTGTGGTAGTTGGGTGAATTCGTGCTGCATGGCGCTACTTGCGCAGTTGAGGGTGTCGATAATGAAGAATAGCTTTTTTTAGCAGGAGCCCGGTCTCGGAATTTCGTATAATTTATAAATTTTACTTTACTCTGGAGACGCGAAAAATTTGTGAAATTCAAAATTTATTTATTCATGATCTATTGCGAATAAAGTAAAACGGATACTTAACTTTATTTGGAGTATAACGAACATTGAAAAAAAAGCTAAAATGGTATGAAACCTACGGTGCAAGGGTAATTTTGAAGGTAAAAATAGGAAAAAATTAAGTTTTTCGTGTTTATATGGGGCAAAATCGATTGGATACGCTATTTCCCCTAGTTATTCTCGTATTCCGTCATATATCACGAACTGTTCAATGGAGCCCAAAGCTCAGTGAAGACTTTTAAATTTCACCGACGTATGCACTTGAGTGGATACTTTTGAATGCCTCAAGTTAAAGTAGCTCTACCCTTAGGAGGTTATATTTCAATTCAAAGATTTTTAAAAATTACAACAAATCGCCTAAAAATTCTGTGATTCGGATTCGTAATTTTTTTCCTCATTTAATTGTTGTTCAAGTTTTTATAAATGAAAATGTTGAAAATTCATTATTTAACACAGGGTCTTATGTGAAAAACGCTAAATTTGACACAGCTCCGGTTAAAACAAAGATTAAAATCTAATTTTTTTTCCTAAACACGGGAAAAAAATAATAAAAAATATTGGCACCCGTCAGATAAGGATTTATCGTTTAGTTTTTTTTATTTTAACAATTTCCAACCAGAATCACGGGAGACTGTAAACAGGAGTAGACGTGACAACGACAGCTGTCATTTCGCGGGACCTCTCTCACCTCTCTCGCCCGTCACATTATGCTCCAGTGTCGCCACTAATTTTTCCACGCTAGTCAATTGAAAATCTATTTATTCATATTTTTATTGAAAACAATTAATAATGAAATAATTCTTATGCTTGTCCTTTATAAATTATTTTAATAATTTAGATATCAAGATAGTATATTTCAGCACATGTGGGGCAATTTCGTCTTTAACGTGTGTGGGGTTTGCAGCATGAGCCGAAGGCGAGTGATGTAACCACACACGTTAAGGACGAAATTTCCCCACAAGTACTGAACAAAATTTTATGTCACGAAGCCTGAAACCGGCTGAATTAGACCACCGGACACCGCGAAGCGTCGAGTGTGTAATCCAGCCGGTTTCAGGCATGAGTGGCATAAAAATTATTTTTAGAATCTTCTTTTTTCAAAAGCACTCAACGATTCCAGCCACAGGGGTAGAGCTACTTTAAGACTTTCGGGGGAGTTCTGAACGACTCTACTTGAAAGTTTTGAAAGTCTCAGCGTGAGACTTAAAAATTTCAACTTGAGACTATTAAAGGGACCGCACGCATGAAAAAATCGTATAGAAATTTTCTAGACGGATTGCGTATAGAATTTCTATAAGATTTTCGTATATGATATTCGGATATTTCTAAACGGATATTTTTTGTACAAATTATTTCTATACGATTTCTATAGGTTTGATCCTATAGGACCCACTTCCTCATGTATAGAAACATTTCATATGGAGTTGTGACATTTCTCTACGTTTTTCTCTGGAGCGTTTAGACATCTTTTGTATGAAAACAAAAATTTATGTAAATATTTATGTATAGAAATAATTCGTATAGAAATATCCGAAAATTATATACGGAAATCCTATAGAATTCTTATACACAATCCGTATAGAAAGTTTTTATTCGATTTTTTCATACGTGCCCCGGTGAAATTTGAAAGTCTTCGGTGGATCTAGGGACTTATTGAGCAACTCTAGTTATACGATGGGATATGTTACAAAGTGGGAAAAATCCCGGACCGAATCGGTTTTGCCCCGTACTTCCACGGAAAACGTCGTTTTTCATGTTTCTATCTTTAAACGTTCCTCGTTCCCCAATTTTGATCCGATTTAATTTTTTTTTCAAAATGTTCGTGAGACTCGCAAGAACAAAGTTAAGCTTTCGTATTACGATCCATTATTATAGATCATGAGAAAATCGAAAAAAACCGAAAAAAATGTAAAAAATAAAATAAAAAAATGGTTTTCCCTTCTGATAGTCGTTGCATTATGCCTGAAAAGTCTTAATTTTGAATAGTTGACGATCAGAAGGAAAACCCCCTTTTTTCATTTTTTTCGATTTTTTCATAATCTATATAATGGATCGTAAAACGGAAGCTTAACTTTGTTCTTTGGAGTCTCACGAACATTTTGCAAAAAAATCAAATCGGATGAAAATTGGGGAACGAGGAATGTTTTAAAGGTAGAAATACGAAAAACGACTTTCCGTGGAAGTACGGGGCAAAACCGATTGGGTCCGGGATTTTTCCCACTTTTTAACATATCCCATCATATAACTAAAGTCGCTCAATAAGTCCCCAGATCCACCGAAGACTTTCAAATTTCACCGGGGTCCCCCCTTAAAAGTCTCAACTTGAAACATTGGAAAATCTCCATGTGAGACTTTCAGACGTCTCAAAATAAAACTTGTTTTGTTTTGTGTTTACATGAAGACACATCGCTTGTAAATAGTATATTTTTAACCTAGGGGCTTAAAATGAAGGAGTGGCCCCCCTGCGAAATTAATTGGTAAGCACGTGCGTAAGGGTCCTTTAGTTTACGTGGAAAGAAATATTCAGTAAAAATTTCGGAACAATTCACGTAATCCGCATTGGGGAATCGGTTTTCGGCAATTTTTATAGGAATGGAAGAGAAGAAATCTGAAACGTTCAGTAAATTTTCAGGTTCATCATCGAATAAAGTACGAAGTTGTCACGTAATTTTTCCCGAAGAAGTAAAGTCTTCCAGAAACTTCCCGACTTATTATGCCTCCAAAATCAAAAATTCTTGAACGTTCAACAATTTTTATGAAGCTGGTGAGTTATTTCTACGTTTCGTTCCGTAAAATTTCTCAATCGCTGGGGAAAAATTACGGAACGACTTGTTGTGCCCACAGCGGTGAGTCACCACGCGGGTAGTTATCTTTACGGAACAAATCGTAGAATGTACGTGACGATTCGTACAATTTCAGTTCCGACTCACAATTTTTATTGAATTTTACTTCGCTCGCGGATTACGTTTAAAAATGTAATTTTTACGGTTTTTCTCTGGTCATTTTTATTGAATTGTTCTCTCCGTGTATCGCCCGTGGTTACAAATTAGAAGTTAGAAGCAAAGTCAGATTTTCTTCCCGCGAAGTTTCACAAGAAATTCAAACATCATCTTTCTAAATAAAATCAATGAATTTTCATTGTGCTCATAATTAATTATAATCAGTTCCAAGTTTCATGAAAAATCGTAGCTCAAAATTTTGCACACATATATTTGAACATACAGAGCGATCTCTAAAAAAGATCGGAAGAGATCCAAAGTTTCATGAACAATGGAGAAATCTTGAAATTTCCACATTCGATTTTCGGGGTCACTTTTTTTAACAGTAAATGATGATTGATTACGTAAATGAAGTTTGTTTGCACTTTTGCATTATCTCCCATGATAACCCTCTCATTCTTCGGTATCAAACTGGTTCAAACAATATAGCATCCGCTGGCAGATTAGCAGACTCGCTTGATGTATCGTTTCCGGATATATTTTCAAATGCTATAATCTCGTTTATGTGACTCAGCCAAACATCATAAGCTATGCAATTGACCTAGACTATCATTCTTCATTCAATTTTTACTGTCATCGATATAATCGTCTCCCCAGTTTCGTTGCACAAGACTTTCAAGTCTGATTGTCCCACATTTCTTTGAATGTATTTCTAAAAATATTTCCATGAATTTCCCATTCACGGAATATCCATCAGATGTTCTGTACCGATAAAACGAGAAAAATTGCAATGAGATATGTATCCCTGCGAATCATAATCGAAATAATAAACCCATTTTTATGTGTCATCATTGTCTGATGTAACTATTACGTCGGGTTTCGTTTGAAAAATGATATTATTTCCGCTGCAGTCATGTTTACGATATCGCCAATAAAATTAACAATTCCATAATGCATTCAGTCGACAGTGAACTTGGACTGAGAAAAATGAATGGATGAAGATAATTCGATTCAGAACCGGAAAGTGGGCAGCCTCGAACGATGTTATGGTCGAGTGCTTATGCGCTATTAACGAGGCGTCCAAATCGAGATATTAACATTGTTCGAATAAATTCAAAGTGTTGCTGCATAATTGAAACAGTGTAATCAACACAAACCATGTGACGCGTCTCCTCGACCCCATTGTGTATTTCCATTCTTTTCCTTTTTACTGAGTGACATGAATGGTTGTTGCTGAGCTTAGGAGATTAATTAGAAGGAGGAGCAACTGAGAGGACCTTTGTGACCCTATAAACCCTTGGGGCCTTTGGATAAGTCATTGGTCATAAGGGCCATAAGGGCCTCACAGTTCACCAAGGTTATAAGGGTCAAGAGGGTTAAAATCCTTTATTTGATTATAAATCTATTTGATGTTACAAGAAGGGGTAACAGAGGGGACCTTTGGGACCCTGGGGACCTTTGGGGCCTTTAGGGTCAAAAGGGCTACAAGGGTCTTGGGATCCACGAAGGTTAATAGGGTCGAGAGGGTCAAAATCCCTTATTTGATTATAAGTCTATTTGATGTTAGAAGGAGGGGTAACCGAGGGGACCTTTAGGACCCTGCGGATCCTTGGGGCCTTTAGGGTCAAAAGGGCTACAAGGGTCTTGGGATCCACAAAGGTTAAAAGGGTCGAGAGGGTCAAAATCCCTTATTTGATTATAAGTCTATTTGATGTTAGAAGGAGGGGTAACGGAGGGGACATTTGTGACCCTGCGGACCCTTGGGACCTTTAGGGTTATAAGGGTTATTTAGGGTTATTTGATGTTATTTAATGTTTGAGTTAGGGTTATTTGATGTTTTTTTTTTTGGTTAGATAGCAGAATGACCAGAAGGAGGTGTAGGTATTAAATTAGTTCCTGACTTTGAGCATAAATTTGTAACAGAACAGTATAATATACATGTTCATTTTTTCCCACATAATAATTTCAAACACCAAAGGATTAACAACTTAATATTTGACTTATTATCACTTGTTTTGCTTTGCAAAATAGTAATCCCGGATATAATGTTATCTTTACGGACATGTCATAACCTTATAATATTTTCGTATAAATTTCCTCCTATCTCATTAATTCTGTATTTCAAATCATGAAATACACGAGGAGAAAAAGGATCAAAAATTGTGTTTGTCAGTAAATTCATCAGCGTTTACACTTTTCTAATTGATGAGGGTTGTAAAATAGTACATTATAGGACTAGGGCATAAATTCCATTTGCGACGAGCTCAAAGTTTACAGGCCGAGCCGAAGGCGAGATCTGTACTTCCATTCTTACACGGGAAAAACAAAATAGTAAAAATTCCTGTGTCGAAATTTGCACATAGTAAAGATTCCCAAAGTTTAGTAAGTATTATTATGGCCATGGGAATGGCTACTATGGAACATCGTAATGGTTACTATGGAACGTGGTGAGCTCCTCCATGGTAATAGGTCTTATGTACATAACAATAATTATTAGGTTACATAGTAGAGCTTCCTATGTTAAGAAAAAGCCTACTTTGTTGCTTACAGTTTCTGAAAAATTCCCGTTTTTGTCTCTACAACTATTACTCAAATCAATGTTAAATGATTTTGTGGAGATGTTTATGCTCGCTTGATATTGGTAGGACAGATTCCTGAAATTCACAGATTTTTCCGGAAATTGGTCACTTTTATTCTCAGTAAGAGTGCTGGAAACCGCAGTTTTTGTTCGGACAAAAAATATCAATGGAACATGGTAAGCATTACAATGGAACATGGTAATCTTTCTCACGGGCAAAGTAATTATTACCATGTCCAAAATAGCAAAACATTCCATGAGATGTCGGTCAGTAATTAGTATGTAGGGTCTGTTGAAAACCCCTTTACTATGTGATCGTAGTATTCCCTCTTATGACAATGGTAATTTTTACTATTGTACTCTCTACATGTAGTATACGAATTTTTGTGCTCGATTTATCTATATTATTTTATATCCGGCCGCGTCATGAACAAGACTGATCACACAGAGTGACATGAATATTGTCATTAATAATAGAATCAATACGATTGAAACGGTCGACAATTTATTCTGAATGCTGAAACGCAAGAGACAGCGTTTTCACTCGTGACTTGCCAAATCACACATTTTTGGAATTTGAATTTGCCAAATTATATATTCTCCGAAATTGAGGAGGAATCTTCCACTGAGAATTGGATCACTACAAATTAATCATCTTTTCTTTAATGACTACGAATTAGTTTCAACAACAGTTGTTGACACCGAATTTTGTTCCACCTGTTGGTGTTGGTGTTCTCATCCGAAGAGCAGATTCGGAACCTGAAGAAACACATGCGTTGATTAGTTATCTTACAATTATAGATTGGATCTCATTACTCACATCCTTCTCATACATGCAGACGAATAACAAATGAGCAGTTTTGCAGTTATCAGTACCTCCTGAAATTTGTAGGTTTATTCGTGTGGCTGTTGTACATAATTTTTAAAAGCATTGTTACTTACTTCTAGCGCTGCATGTTTTGATAGCGTCTGTTAGCGGCTGTGCAAAGTCGGCATCCTGCGGTATTTTACTTACAGCTAATTCGACATTGAATGAGCCATCTTCTCTTAGCTGAGGGATTTCATATGGCGGAATTAGTTTTAAAAATTATTGTGCTAGGAAACATTCTCGTGGGTAAGTAAACCATTCCATCAAGAGATTATAATCCCCGCCTTCGGCTCAGATTATAAAATCACATTCGTCAGTCACATTCGTTCTATTGGAATTGTCTAGAAATTCTATGGGGATTCTATTAAAACTCTAGAGAATTGTCATTAAATTTCTATTTGTTTTTTGCGCAGATTCTATTAGAAATTTGATATGAAAAAGTCAATGGATTTCGATTTTTCTGATTGAATTTTTCTCTTGAGATTTTTTCTATTAAAACTATTGGGTACGGATTTTCTAAGTTTTTCCGCTATATTTTGTTTTGTTTTGCACTGCAGGATTCGAGTGAAAAAAAAAAGAAAATTCATGCTCCAATATTCTTATGTAAAAAATTCCAAGAGGATATTCATATAAAAAAATCGAAATCCATTGAATTTTTTTATACGTGGACATATAATATTTAGAATTTCAGTTTATTGGGCCTATAGACATAAAAATGCGTAAAATAATGATAATACAGTAGTCATTAATGATGCGTAAGTAATGATATGGAAAATGCGTATGTTTTCTATTAGAAAATGTTCATAGTATTTATCACAGCAATAGAATACGAGTATTTACCAATTCATAATTTTGAAGGAGACAAGCAGCGAAACAGTTGAAATCTGGCTCGTCAACGATTTCTCCATTCAACACACGCTCAAGTACTTCATCACTAAGATCATTCTTAGTCCTACATTTTTCCAGTGTTCTCTGGAAGCGCACGATATCCGCAGCCGTGAAGGCCTGTGTAAACATTGATGATTCTTATTACCCTCGCGTTTAAGGTACTTTCGCACTAAGTATACTTGGTGAAAATTTCGAAATGGTATAAAGACGCAATATTTGGATCATGTTTTGTTGACCACATTAAAAAGATATTCCCAAAATTTCAAGTCCCTGGTCCATCCCATTTTTGAGATATGCATCGCCAAACATTCAATTTTTGTGTTTTTTTCATTTTTGACGATGTATATCTCGAAAATGGGGTGGACAAGGTACTTGAAATTTTGGGAATAGTTTTTGAATGTGCTCAACAACATATGATCCAAATATTGCGTCTTTATACCATTTCGAAATTTTCACCAAGTATACTTACTGCGGAAGTTCCTTAAATGCATGAAGAAAAAAGTTCTAAAAAAGCATCATGGAAATCACGTAAAAAGGACATTATTTGACGTAATTGTGATGCATTGCTACTGATTCATATAAATGACTGTTCGATTTTTTTTGTTTTCCTTCGGAAGCAAAAATATGTGTTTTGTCACGTGATTTTTCCTGAACTTTTTTCTCTGTGCACTGATCACTCTATAAAGATCTTGAGGTAAACCTGATATAACAGAATATATAGATTTTCGCATTATTCGAACTCACCGCAGATACGAACGCAACGCTAAGGATCAGCACAGCGACGAGAAGTTTCATCTTCATTCTTTGAGACAAAATAATTTATTTTCTTGTTGTTAGATCCCCCTTATATACCCGATATCGGTATTTTTTCCAATATTATCCACTTGTAATTGAGCAGAGAATTGATTGGATAACAATTCATAATTCGAGGAATTATTGTCTTCTAAACTATTTGAAATTTACATCGTCATTCTTGTTTTAATGCGCCGGCGAATCGAACACATGATTTCATAATTGAGCTGCGTTTGATTATACAACTATGAAAGCTAATTGCGTGAGATAATCGTCGGAATTTTTGCGATTTCATTGTCTATTCGAGGATAAAGAGTATAATACTGTCATTGCCATACTAGCACGTGAGGGTTTAGGAACGACACAGTTTCATTTATGTTCTTCTTTTCTGGGGTCAACGGAGAAGGTAAAGGGATGGAAATCTGCATGTCAAAGCGAATTATTTGTAATTTGAAGTTTTTCCATGAGTTGAGTCGAGCAAATGGAGCTGGATTTCAAACACTTTTGTGAGTGCTGCGAAGACCAAATTAATGAAGACTAGAGTGAACAGGCAAATTGCTGGATGGTTAAGGAAAATTCAAGTTTCGTGGTCGGATCTAAAATAAAAGAATCACCTAAATGCGGATATGATGCCTTCCATACCTTCAAGAATGTTTTAATCAGAAGAAAAAAAATATTTGAAGTGAAAATAACAAAACAAAGAATAATTAAATTAAGAAATAGTTTAATGTAGCCGAAACTCCTAATTTCTCAACTACACGGAGAAAAGTGAATGGTAGGGGTTACTTTTATATGGCAGAGGTTACCATAAATTATGGTAAAAGGGTTTCTAAGTCAATCTCAATAATAATTTTTACTATGTTCAACAGTAAAGCGTACTATATTGTATAGTAATCAATACCAATCGAACATGGTAGGTATTACTATACAATAAAGCAACGACAACCATTATTATAGGAGAGCTTACCATGTGGATGGTAATCAGTACTACTTATACATGGTAATCTGTTCTTTTCTCGATATCGTAGAAAATACTAAAAATAGCCATCAAGGCACAATTAAAATTGAATTATCGGTTACTCATCAACAAGTCTTTACCACCACCTTTTCTCCCTGGTCCAGCTCTTAACAAAAGATTAGAATTAGATCCAAATTATCGTCATTTTCTGCCAGTTCTCCCGTCCAATCGATCTGGAGATATTACAATAGTAAGCTCTCTCAATTATTTGGGACATGATAACAGGGAAAACGTAATATTGATGATGCCGACCGAGGTTGGTCCTCAATTACATTTAATTAATATCGTAATCCTAGAGCCAAATAATCAAGTTATTCTTGTTACTCAACAATTACAAGAATACTCCTTTGAAAGACATTTCCAATCCTATGAAATTGATATAAATGATAAGAGGTGGTCGACATTGACATTTCGACAAATGAAATTTTGTATCTTATCGTATATAGCTACCTCCGGGAATGGAAAGCAATACGTGCCGAAACGTTGGGTCTAAATTCTCACGCACAGTTGTTGAGTTTAATTACTCACATTTGAATTTTTTAATAATTTTTAGAGCACCGTAATGCCAAAAATTCTTCCAATGATTAGGTAAAATTTGGGATAAAAAATCCCACTATTCTGTAGATATGCATATTCTGATATTAAAATACTGATGTAAATATGTTATTGTTAAATATGACCCTTACGATATTCGATATGATTAATCTAGGTATATTGATGATTATTGATAGCAAAGAATCCCACATTATAAGAAAATACTCTGTAATTATTGAAACAGCGTCGAAACCAAATACGTTAAATATAAATATATATCACCGACGGCGGTGGCTGTGTGGTTGGAGTGTGGGATTGGCATGCGGGAGACCCGGGTTCGATTCCCGGTTGGGGGGGCCAAAATTTGTGACACTCTAAATCTCACGGTTTCATTGTCGAGCGGGAGTCTCGCAAGAGATGACTGTTGAGGGTGGGAAGGGAATAAATCGTAAAGACCCGAAAGGGTATACGAGAAGAAAAAAATTTATAAATATATATCCCACTTGAAATTTCTATCTCATTATACTCATTATTATCATGATATAGTTCAGTGATCATTATCTTTTATGTTCGTGACATTTTATGACTTTTTTACGTTTTACCATATAATATAGGTCATGTTACCATAGTGCATGGTAATCTCTCCTATAAACTATGGTAAACTTTACCAAACGACTATGGGTCCCTTTACCATAATTAATAGTACACTCTACCAACATGGTAGCGGGTACAATTCAATATAGTAATTTCTCCTATGTTCATAGGCTTCATTCCCATCGAGAGACTTACCATGGCCCATAGTATGTAATACCATACCCCATAGGAATCATTACCATAGCATAGTAATGCTTCCTAAATTTTAGGAATACATACAAGTCGTAAATTTGAAATGGGACTCTTTCCTATGGCTCTTCTCTCCGTGTAGTAAAAATTTTTGCATGAAAAAACCAACTACGTTCGCTGAAGAGTTGTGACTACTCAAAAACCAAACTGCAAAGAATTCCTGAATGAAATCCAGAATGAATTTTTGGAATTTCATTTGCAGCAGTCTGTTGACTCTGTTAATTCACCTATTTTTAATGTTTCTTTGAAGACTGTTAGTCGAAATCGACCCGAACGGTCAGAATGTAACGTGAGGAGATGAGAATTTAGAAAGACATAATTACAGAGCAAAATGGCATGTCTAATTACAAAATCTATAGAATTTTCTGTTTGAACTATACTGTTGAGAAATATTCTGTCCCGTAGAAATTTATCGGTATGAGCTTCCTTTTTTCATAGTTTTTTCGTCAGAGAATTTTCATTGAAACAATTTCACCAAGATTGTTTTTATATAAACTTTGACTCCATTGCTTTTACCACTACCCCATCAGCAGGCGTGCTATGAGACTTTCTCTCACAAAAAATTTTCCCTCTATTGGAAACACCCGAAAAGTGCAACTATTCTGCTCAAATTTTTATTAATGCCTCAAGTGCTTTTTCTAATTTATGTATTCATTTTCCTTGCCATATATACCCTATCCGAGTTTTTACATTTTTGCGGTTTCATGGGCCGACTTCGTCTTCAACCGTGTCGCATTGTACCTCAGGCTATATGCCACGTACAGACGCTCCTGGTAGTCCTGGTGACCAAGGGAAACCATGGAAAACCTTCGTCGACACGGGCATCCACCGACCGAGCTTCAACGGAAAATGGTTTCCTAACACTTCTCCGATGATTCTCGGTGTCTAGACTTCCGTTCGACGGTTTCCGAAAGGTTACAAATTCCAATTGCCCCAAACCGGACTCGAACCCGCGCCTCACGGGTCCCGCCGTCCGGCCGAGCGATTTAACCACTTTGGCCACCGTAGCCGGGCTTCTGATTTATATAATAAAATATTTTATTTGGCTCAGCTGAAATTTTTCCTCTGTTGCGGATACGGGACTCGTGCCGCTGAACTCCAAAATTCAGTTCTGTTCTTACGAGAGCTGATGAGAAATTATGGGGCGAATCGCGCGCCTACTGACGAGTTAAAAAATGGATGTCTATATGACCCACAAAAAAATCAGGGATTGAGATTTTTATAATTTATTAAGAATGATTACAATATCATGAATAAAGTTAAAAATGCAGTTCATATGTTGCTGCAGTTGATAATCTTTCCGATGCATAATCATCTGCAGGATATTATGTGGCTGGTTCTAAGCGTTCGTCATATATCATCATCATCAGAACATTCTGCAAGAAGCAGATAAACTCCTGTGTCTTCAGTTAAATTGCGAGAGGATGTGGCGTATTGACTTGAATACAAACATGATACCGAGTGTTTGCATTCTCAGGCACCATTCACGGTGAATAGAATTCTCAAAATGCAATCGTTCCTGTTTGGGCAATCTATCTTCTGTTTTAAGCAATCAAGGAGACGCCTTGTCGATTTGCAGTCATCAACCCCTTCAGCGTTTCCTAGAGTCACACGTGTATCGATTAAGAAAGATCAATGTATGAGACGAATATTAGATAAATGACGAATGATAATATTATAATCCCACTAACGGTCTTTTGTACATGAAATCACGGCGGATTTGAGATGACTATCCCCCGACGACTCTTTGGAAATCTTTTCCACCACTTCTTTATCGGTGAACACTCCAGTTTTTGTTAGCTAGGCAAATTGGAATACAATAAAATTATTATATTTTTTTAGCAGTTGAACATATGACGGTCATGTGACCATGTTAATGACGGGAGTTTGGTTGCGTACTATCACTGAAGACGGGAGCTTACAAAGCGTTCCACATTTTGGGACGTAGCAGAATATTTACAAGGAAAATCTACTGAAAAAAAGGGATAGTACGGACCGAGTCGAGAAATTTGGTCTTAGGTTGAATCAGTGGCTGAGTCGGTTTTTGGACTGGATTTCCGGTCGGGTTTTGACCTGGTTGTACACCTGTTAGGCCAGAAAAACGACTCGGTTTTGAGTTTTTATTCCTAGGCTGGTCCGTATTCGGTCTTAATTATTCTGTTTACTGGTTCATTTTGTCGGTTTTCGACCTAAATTTGAGAATAAAAACTAGAATTTCTGTGCTTGCGGCAACTGCAGTTTTAATTTATAAAAATTGCCGAATTTTTCATAGTTTTGACATGGTGGAAAATTCTTATTGGCGAAAAATTTTCAAAGTCCATATAGTGAGAATTTTCCCAAAAATTCGGAAAGTTAAAGTACTTCAAGGTCCAATGACTGAAAATTTTTTCAAGTCTATGGAGAAATGGAGGAATTCGACGAATGGTATAAGCGCATTTTAGTCGGTATTTGGCTTATTCACCTATTCTCCCTGAGCTGACCAAAGTGGTCATAAAAATGCGTTAGACGCCACGTTGGCCGGTTTTGGTCTTTAATTTGAGGGTCATCTACTGACCATCCATAGACAAATTTGAGTAGTATAGCATTGTTAATGTTTTTTAGATGAAATATGATGGTCACATGAAATTTATGTCATAAAATTTATGTGATGAAATTAAGAAGCAGCAGAGACAGGCGGAATATTTCAACATTCGAACATTCGTAAAGATTAAACGTGAGAGAGGGAAAATCGTCGGAGGGTGAACATTGGAAGTAATCAACGATTTAGATGGGATGTGCTTGTTAGTCAATAGTTATTCATGCGATAGAAATTTCGTAGAAGATCATTTACTTCGTTGGAATCAGACCGTCATATGAAATTGTTGTCATCATTTGGCCGTGTGAGAAAAATTGTCATATTTGTATCTGCTAAGTAACGGTCGTCTGAAATTAAAATTTTTGCGGAACTCTAATATCGGGCTAGTATGCTTGTTAATTCAAGTACGATTTTATTGTTTGAGAACTTTCAGAGATACACAGAAAAGAGTCTTCATGCAAAGAAATTAAATGTTTTCATGGTCCGGGGTATAAAAAGTTAATTGTATTCTTGATTTGGGAATTTAGAAATTTTTTCGCCTTCTTGCTTTGTTGAGGAGAATTGAAATTTCATGGATACATCAGTAGTAATTTTTAAAGAATCATGGAATTTCGAATTTTATTAAAAATTTAAGGGAATCTTCAATTTTTTGGACGCAGGTGAACGAGCATTTCTTAACGTAGTTGATTTCTCAAATTAACCATGAATATTCAGTGCCACATTAAGCTGAATTTTCCAGCGATGAAAATTTCAAGAATATATTTACTCCAATATTCCTAATTTCTATTAAATTTCCAAGAAGTCCACCATCAGGCCTTTCAGTCAAAAATCTTTAAAAGTCCATCAAGTTTGTAGAGACTTATATGTCTTGAAGTTGATAAAAATTCATCTCCCTAATTAGTGATGCCGCGAGAGAGTTTACGAGACAATGCATTGGAGAAATGGTCTTGGTCTCAAGAAACATGGAAATCGTTGGTCTCGTCTCAGTCTCGAAATACGCAGTATCGACTCGTCTCGTGATGACTCCGAATCAATTTATCCCATCTCGGTCTCAAGTTTTTCGTGTTTTTTAATGTAAAATCGCGGTGCTTGTCTCGGTCTATGTTTTCTACGTATAACAAACCCGAAAAACTGGAAACTGAGATCAGCTAAATTGACTCACAGTCATCACAAGGGGCGTCCATACTGCGTATTTCGAGACTAACACGAGACCAAAACTTTCCGTGTTCGCTGAGACCGAGACAATCCCTCCAAGGTATTGTCTTGTAACATCTCGTACAGTCTCTCGCAGCATCGCTATCCATAATACTCACATTTTCGCGTAATTCTCTGAAGCATGATTCTAGACAGTTTGATCTCCCTTCCGTTGCTTTATGATCACTCTTCTTCGCCTCTAATTGATGTGCAGTCGCGTTATAATTTTGCACGCAGTCAATTAGAGTCTCCAATATGTCGATATTTTTAGTTGGTAACTCAGTTGGTTGAGCCTGAAAATATCCATGACCATTGGCGTATTCGATGGGAAACCACATAACAATATGATGTACTCACAAAAACAGTCAGGAAGCCGAGCCCAATAGTGAAGGCCTGAAGATACATAATTTTTTGACTTATGGTGATTGCTTGCAAGATATGTAGTGGCAAAGAATGAGAACAGCCTTCACTTCGACTACAGACGTAAAGAATAAAATGGTCAGAGATTGTTCTTGCGTTCCAGGAAGTATTCTCACTGGTAACTGTGACGAGAGATGCGTTGTGATGGAGAGGATGGCACAAGAGAAGTGACCCTGTGGAATATTTGTACTGACGCGTTGCAGAGAAACACATCCGCACACGGTGTGGGTGTATGGAAAATTGGTAATTGCCGTTTGACCGTGTCAGTCAATGTTCAATTCAAACATGATATAAAGCGGTGAAGTGAAAAATTATCTCGTCTTTATAACTATTATGTTTGCATCTCTACACGACTTCCCTACTATTTTCAACAATGCATTAAAATTTGCCGTCCGAAATTGAGTTGAGGGTGTAGCGCGTCAGTGACACCTCATATGACCGTCACATGACTGTACTATGACGGCGTTATTTTATGACTAATATTTCATCTCAATAAATGGTCTGCTACGAACACAGAGAAACAAAGTTTCCGGTTTTCAGTAACAGTTTCTGGATTTCAATACCATGGAGTACTGGAATAATCCAGAGACTGTTAAGACTGAAGCACTGGATTCCAGTGAAATTTCGCTGGGAACCAGAGAAAAAGTTCTAGTTCTCGGACATTTGTACTGAAACCAGTACTGGTGTACTTAAATGAAGACGCGAGGCGCGTTGCTCGTAATTGTTGATGAAAACAACGTAATCATATCCATGAGATGGGATAAATTGATTCGGAGTCATCACGAGACGAGTCGATACTGCGTATTTCGAGACTGAGACGAGACCAACGATTTCCATGTTTCTTGAGACCAAGACCATTTCTCCAATTAGTGATTTGGTACTCAAATCATTCATCCTAGTTCTTACAATAAGAATAGTTTGGTACCGACATCAAGAACCCTGGACTAGGAAAAAAAATATATTTTTGCGAAATATTCATTTACTTCAGAGAAATATTGATTTTTTCCAAATCGTATTTCTCCAATTGAGTCATTCTCAGGCTAGCCTGCTTAGGTTTCAATTATGACAATCATATTGCTCCAGTGGATGACTATGTTGCACATGACCTTGGATGAACTCCTCCAATGATTATTCATTTTTCCTGAAATTTTGATTTTCTAGAGGAAAGAATTTCAATTAATTTCTTAATGTTAATAATTATTGACGGAGTTCACTCCAGGTGATAACTAACATGATGATCATCTAGTGCAATATAATTGTCATCCCCTTTAAAAAAAAGCATGTAACGTTTTTTGTCACCGTTTTTTACGGCATAGCTTAGCTATCACGTATAAAAAATGAGAAAAAAAAATTAATATTTTTGAAAAATATAATATATCATATATATATATTTCCGCATATATTATATGATGTTGTATTTAAAAAAAAAAGTTTTTTTAGTTTCTTTTCAATTTTTTGATTAATTTTTTTCTTTTATAAGTCATCAACTTTAGTAGAAGATCATTAAATAAAAAATAATGACTAAATAATTCCTAAATAATTGACGGAAAAAAAAACTCATCACGAAATAAAGGAAAAGTGTGAAACCGACGATAAAAGTAATAATAAGAATATTTTTTTTTTTGTAAATCAAATATGAAAAGTAAAAAAGGTCAGAACAAATAGATAAAATTGAACCGGACATGAATTTGCTCGGAACCATACCTTTGTGCTAAAAGAAACATAGACAACCATACTCTGGATAAAGGCGCGCGTAGCGCGCCCCATACGCTAGTAATTGAAATCTAATGAGGGTTGTCTGGGAATGAGTCGACTGGAGAAATACAGTATTGAAAAAAATTAATAGGGTAGGGTAGGGCAAAATGGACCAGGCGGGTAAAACGGACCGCAGGGCAAAACGCACCTCTAGGGCAAAACGGACCACGGACAGAAAATTGATAATTTTTGTTTTTGCTTGCGAATGGAGCAAATTCGAAGTCATTTGTGGTTTGAGGTGATTAGCAAATCTGATCAAATTGCGGTTCAACGACACTTGTCTATAAAACCCCTGTGACAGTTACGATCCAAGAAACTTACTTTTAATTCAACACATTCAGTGTTCCTGATTTAAAGGAAAGAAAAAAAAACAAAAATTACCAATTTTCTGTAAGTGGTCCGTTTTGCCCTCGCGGTCCGTTTTGCCCTACCCTCCCCTACTCATCTCAAGTAAATAGGTAATAATAATAATAAGATAAGTTTTTTCTCTGCATGGGGTTCCTAAAATATAAACCGCGGGGTTCTTAAATTGCTATTGTCATCTCCTCAAATTATCTTCATTAACTACGGTGTGACATCACAACTTAGGCGACTTTCTTCCCGCTTCGTGATGAATCGTCGTGAATTACAGAACCTCCTCCCCACCTCAATCGCGTGACGCAACATTTGAATGCCCTCAACGGTTCTTATTTGAAGAAAACAAGGTTTTTACAATGAGGACTGTTTTGATTTCAGTAGCCAACAGTTTTATCTTCCAGTAACATGGTTCTGGATTTCAGTCCCACGGTGCTGGAACCCAGAACCATTTTTTCTCTATGAAATTTGTGTAACACACTGATAGAAGGCTTTGCTTGTATCTACCTGACGGATTCGGTTGAAGGTTTTTTTTCGATTAGGTTCACATAACTGGACATTCATTGATAACTAGGACTAATCGCGGTACACTCAACTGCTGGTTGATTTTAACACCATTTGATTATGATAAATTTTTCGCTTGACGCAAACCGGGAACCGTTTAATACAACTGGGCGTTTGGTAATAGTTACCGAATCGGGGTTAATTCAACGCGCCCTCTAGCTTAGGCTTTTCCTCACGTTGAAATCTTCAGAGAATATATAAACAAAAACGTATTTACTTTATTAAAATAATATAAGCGATTAATTGTAGGGTGTGAGTAAAACAATAACACTTTTAATTGGAAGAAGATTGTTTATAAACGGAAATTTCTGTAGTGAAATTGAAAAAAAAGTTTTACAAAAAAAGTTCTTATGGATATTACTCCAACTCCCCTGGTTTCTGATATGCTTATCACAAATCCAACCTGGTGAATAATTAATTGACTTACCTCGTTAANTCAGTTTCTGATTGACTTACCTCGTTTTATCATTTCTGTACAGAATTGGAAAGAGAGAGATGGTGCTTTAGTTGTTATTTGCGCGTATAACATGACATAAAATTGTAATAAATATTGATATAAAATACTTTTCATAGAATTCATCGGCGGCGGATTGTGTCCCTTTTGTGGTTATGTTTTGGATAATTAGCAAATCCTAAAATACATTCTCCTCTGTGTAACGTCGTTTTTTCTGGAAGTATAACCATTTTCAGTACATTTTCACTGCATTTCCACATCTAGACGGCCCGTATTTTCAAATTTTCACATGACAATCAATGTTTAATAATAAACAACAGAGAAGTCACACCAACTAGCGATTCGGTAACTATTACCAAATCCTCCAGTTGGCTCAACCTTAACCTCTCAACTGAGCCGTTCGGTAACTATCAACGGGCCATTCAATTGTTCTTATTTTACTGCGACATTAGGTAACAGTTACCGAGCCTGTGTAATATCAACCGAATCCTTCTATCAGTGCATGATCAAACTAGGACGCCATCAACGTCTGAACGTCATACACGGTCTAAATAGCAGGTCAATTTCACTTCCCATCTTCTGATGTATTTCTAACTGGATTACTAACTGATTTAAAATAGTGTTATGAATGTCTATTCTTGTAATATCTGCCTGAAAAGTTCCCTTTTTGGGGCGGTTAACGTGCATAAAGTGAGTGTTTTCCGGCCGTCGTGTGTAAAGTTCAGAGGTCATGCGTGAAGTAAATAAGATTCTGCACTTAACGCAACGGAGGTTTGACGCAACCTGCAATTGTTCAAAACAATCGTTCGGCTGTTTTCTGAGTGCTTCGTTTTCTGTGAAATACTATATTTTCGGCCTGTCAATATGGGATTTTTTACTGGGGGGGGGGGGGGGGGNTCTTCTATACTACCGCGACCACGGGATTTCACGAGGGGAGGAGGGGAAGACATGTATGCGGAGGGTTGAAATTTGTAGCCAACGAGAAGAGAGGGTTGTAGAATATATTTTAGTCACCCTCATCTCTCCGTTTGCAGGCGGTGTTTAAATAAAAAATAGTGAACGTTGATTCTGTATTTATTGACCCCCTGATGCCAATGAAACCCTCGGAGGTGACAGAAAAGACGAAAAAAAATTTTTATTTTCACGTGGGTCAAGGGTTAGGGTGAAAGTCGATTTTCGCCAAAATCGAATTTTTTCGCCAAGTAAAGGTTGATTCCGTATTTATTGGCCCCTCTAGTGCCAATAAAACCCTCGAAGGCGCCAGAATTGTCGAAATAATAGTATATTATGCCACCAGGCGATAAAAGTATTATCTGGCGAATGTGGATTATAATGCTTTTATCGCCGTGTGGCATACAGTATGTTATGTCGTTGGGCCCGAGAAGACCGCAATTCTAACCTCGCTTCACTCGGTTAGATCGCGGTTATCGGGCCCAACGCCATAAAATTTTTTTTGTCACACCTGCACGTTTGAACTTGAATTATGTAGTCAGCTGCCGGGGCTACAATATAGCCCGAACTCCCTTGGGAGTTTCTTGTTATGGTCATCTGCGCATATGCCTGCGCATAACAACACGCTCGTTCACCACCAGCCGCAATTTTTGGGTACTAAAAATTATCTGGAAGTGCCAGATCTGTCGAAAAAAAAAAAATTTGAATTTTTACCCGGGGCCAAAGTGTCAGATCTTGGATTTTTCCCGGGAGAAAGTGGACTTCCCCCAAAATAGAATTTTTTCGTCAAGTGAATGTTGATTCCGTATTTATTGGCCCCTCTAATATTAATCAAACCCTCAGAGGGCTCAGAAATGTAGAAATGAAAATAGTATATTGTGCCTCTAGGGAGTAAAAGTATTTTCTGACGAATGTGACGTTATAACCCGAGCCGAAGGCGAGGGTTATAATCACATTGGTCAGAAAATACTTTTATGTCGTTAGGCCGAAAAAACCGCGATTTTAACCTCGCATCGCTCGGTTAGATCGCGGTTTTCGGACCCAACGACATAAAATATCGTATGCCACACGGTGTTAAAAGCATTATCTGGCGAATGCAGCAT